TGGTCAGCACTCTTAAACAAGTTCTGGGTGCCTGGTATTTGTTTTTTTTCAGAATAAAGCACCAATATATGACTGAGGGACTGGGTCACATATGTGGGTGGCGACTATCTGTTTAGGCTTTTCATGATGCTAAGAATCAGTGTTTGCAGAGTAATTGACATGACTGACAATTTTTGGCAATGGCACAGATGTATCCACCTTTTGCTTTCATTCAGATTCTGAAACCTTCCACCAATTTACAGTCAATCATCCTATATTACATCTCCCTCTGTTGTAGTCCCATTACATTTCTGTTCTCCGCTTCTTTGTGCTCTTCTTAAGTGTGACCATATACAAATTTCCCACTAGATAAGTCAGTCAGTCAGAGCTGTACTTCGAAAATGCTTCAGTTTTTCCTGAGATTGTTCAGGAGAACTGATTTTACATGACAACATGCCAGTTTTTTAAAGTCGAATTTAAACAGGATCGTATCCATTGGTACGTTTACATTGAAGTAATTAGGAACGGTGGTGTTTGTCTTCAGTTCAAATAACAACTCACTATAGACTTCCAGGCTTAAACCAAGTTTCTTGAATGAGCTTATTAAATTCCAAGAACTGTAAACCGCTTGCCCATGAAACCTAACGCTTTTAGCGCCACAGCCAACTATTTCTTCCAAATTTATGTACTGGTTTACTAACCGTATTTGATATGACACTCTATGATACTAACTACCTGTCCAAGTCGAAATGGGTAGAATGGAGTTCAAGTCGTTGAAAGTTGAATGCTTGAGTAAACCAGCCACATTTCTAGTCAGTAAAGTATCTAACCAACTCCTACCTATCTTAATAGGAACCCACTAAAATAATTCTAAATACTCTTTCCCTGTCTTGTTATTTCTTGATTCAAATTCACTAAGGAGCATTCCTGGATAAAGATTCTTAGTACATCAATTGTTACAAATTCGCTGGTTGTTTCCCCTTAGTTTGCCACCTAAAATTTTCACTAAAGGTCATTAAAAGTACATCTCATCACCCATTTAAGAATGGATTACACGTCCCAATAATTTGCTAAAAGGTTTGCTAAAGAAAGATTTCAGTACTACAAAATTAACCTACAGAAGTATCCCACGCATACTTCTTGCACCAGTCTTGAGGTGAGCTGAGTTCATCACTGTTAATGAACAAGCTGTATGGATTTGTGTTGCGAAAATTGGTTTACTGAAATGTTTCATGCATACTGCTTTGTAAGTTCCTCGCGGATTCCCTCAAAAATACATCCTGCTTAATTCCCTTCCTCTCCACAGAACCCTATATTGACTTAGTGCTTAGGAAAGTACGTCGTCACGAAATGCAGACAAAAAGCTGTCCATGGACTTAAAGGACAAGTCCGTCGGATGCACTTCAGTGTTTTAGCTGCTACTCGTAGTCATTATTTCAGTTGACAGTGGATAGTGGGAAAATGCAAATTGAGCCACTTCATATACAGTCCAATAAAATCTTCAGTGTTAACTGCAATTCACCTATTACAGACTAATTTTGTTTAACAAAAACACTGTTGTATAATATTATGTATTGATGGCGTTTCAAGAGCTATTTATTACTCTTATCAGTTTTGTGATTTATACCAGTTATTTTTCTGCAGTCTGCCACCTACGTTTATCGAGTTCTTACATTTCAGTTGTTCTCAAGATGTCTGGTTGTATGTTTCCCCACTCTCACGTACAAAGCGCTATTTCTCCTGCCTATGTATGTTTCCACACACACGTGTAAACCCAGCTATATTAATGCTTATGATAGAGCTTATTTTTAATCTATAGGTCGGGACGCATAGTAATTTCTAGGAATGTCAGAGTTTAATCTCTATCCTAAAGTCCTGCTATTAATTTCCCCATTGTAAGGTAATTTGGTGTTAGTTAACTTTGAAAAAGAGTAGACTGTAGGCTCTAAAAGTAACTGACCTCCATACCGATTCAAAAACTTTTAAATAAGTATTTAACCAACCGTCTCTTATATTGTAATGAACAGAAAGTGTAGAAATTTGAATGCTGAACTAAGTAGGCTTTCCAAAAATGGAATGCTTTATTCAGCTATCCTCTCTACGACTCAAAAGTATGTGGAGAAATGCGAGTTGGTCACAGATTTCTTCATCACGTGTAAGACTAATGCGATTTTGTACAGAGTGAAGTATAACCAATGGACAAGTTGTAACTGTGTGGTTATTGCATATCACAAGAATATCAACGTATCTCCTTAAAAAGGTACCTTAGCGATCATATCACCAGCAAATTTTTAACTTAAGACATATACATGTCAAATTTGTGTCATAAATATGGGTGATATAGTTAATTAGTTAATTTTTTCAAACCCATAGATTACAAGTTGCATGAAAGTGATAGCCCGTTTTGCCCAGTTCTATCAATGTATCATCGTCTCACATGTTAATAGACAGAAAGATACTTTTGAACTTGCTGATATCAATATAAAGGGTGCAGAAATGTACTTTTTGATGTTGGCTTTTTGTTTTCAATTTAACTTTATTTGAGGCTTTTAATCGACTGGCTGGTTTCAACGTAAAACTTTGCACAGATGTGCAGCAGTTCGAGTCGCCACACCTCATTCAGCACACAAGAAAGTAAAAAGAAACGCAAAATAGAGACTGTAAACAGAGATATGAGGCAAAAGGAATAGTATTATCGAAGAAAAATATAGTTTTATTGGGTATTGTAAGTCACAAGGAGTGGGTGCATCTGCACCAGCAATTGAGAACGATTTTGAACCATATCACCAATTATCTCCAGCCCTCATTGCTTTTACCGTCCCAAAGACCCCAGCCAGTCAGGAAGTCTACACCTTCCTACGTGGCTAGTCGCTTTAAATCAACTATCGTGTGTTTCACTGACTGATGAGACCATGTTTTGGTTTGATCATTTGTGGCTCTTTTCCAACCTGATCTATCCTATGTCAGCTAACATTGCCCGTCGAGGAAGGCGATGACTAGGCCACGCATGTGTAGCACATGTCCTAACTATCTCAATCGGTGTAACTTCACAGTCTCATCGATTGATTTCACCTCCTTTCCTAGCACTCGACCGATGCCTAACTTCAATATTGCTCACCTTAATATACCACTTCACACGGGAGATAGAAGGCAGACACCTATGATCAAAGACAGCTAGCCGGCCTTTTCGTGTCTTCCACTTTCAATGACCATGTCTCACTCACAGCCATAAAAGAGGACAAAGCGAACTGCTGAGCAGCACACGCCCCTTGGTCGACAATCGGATATCACGTCTAATCCAAAGGTGGCTTAAGTTGGAATACGGGAAACGAGCCTTCTGTATCTGTGCTGAGATTTGGTCAGCGATCAACCCTCTGGAGCTGGGTGATGCAACTCTCCAAACATACTCTACCGCTTCACTCCCTATTTCCAACCTAGGAATCAATGTAGTCCAGTCCTGTAGCCTCATCATCTTACATTTGCCGGGAGCGAATCGCATATCAAATCAACATCCAAAGATTTCTGCTCAAAGTATTCAGAAGACTACATTTTATCAGCGTCTTTATCAGGGAGAACAATATGATCTGCATGCTGTAAGTGGATTAGACTGTACCCTGGTGACAAGTCAGTTCCATTAATACATTTATGACAAAATAAACTAAAATGGGGCAGTCGACATCGCTAACGGACACCACTGGTTGTCATCATTCCAGATGGCAGCTTTGTAAGCTTTTACACGGTTTCGTAGGTTCAAGCAGAGTACCTTTATTAGTGAAATATACTTCCTGAACACTGCCTTCATGGCCAAATATTGGCACATAACCCCTCGGTCGACAAAGTAGAATGCTTCCTTCAAATCAAAAAATATGGTAGGTATGTCAGTCTTGCAAAATCCGTTGAAGGGTGAAGATCTGTTCAATACTCCCTCCTCCCGGCCTAAAATCTGCCTAGTCTTCTTGCACTTGTTTCTCCTGAGCACCACTTAGTGTACACATGTTCATGAAGCCTGTTACTGAAGTTACCATATTAGTCAAGCCTAAGACTGTTGGAAGTTACATGATAGTGCCTTGACACGACTATAAGCAATAAATTGTGCTTGAAACATCACCGGTAAATAATGCTGTATCGCTGTTTTTCCAAAGAAAACTATCCTTTGATAGAGTCATACTCTATCATAATACCTAGATTCTGTTCATATATCAATGCAACCCAGCCAATTTGAAGTAGGCGATGAGGGGATGTTGACGTTTACAGAAACTACAATGTATACAAACGCAAGTTCTTATCCTCCAACTTATATATTACTTGTTCTGCTTAGACCGAAGACAACTCACAACACCAAATCGATCGGCCAAAATACGAGATATATTTTGGACCAGGATCGTCGTACAATGATGGTTCCTTAAGTAGCTAGGGATCGTGCCGAATAGTGTAGATGCTTGACCGCGAACCTTCAGCCTTACGAGTCGGCTTAAACAGTGAAGCTAAGCATTTAATGTCAAGTGGAGAATATTGTGAACTAATAATTTTGGAGAATTGTTTACCGCTACAAGCACTATCTTGCACCGTTTATCCGGACGAAAAAGTAAATATTGATGCATCGATACTTGGATTTTATAATAGATAAAGACAAAGTAAACTAATTGGACCACTTAGTAGTTTCCCTATTATGCATACCGCTCGATATATGAACAACAGCAGAACACAAAAAATGGACAGGTTTGAGCTCGTAAATCTTAGCAATAAACGAGGTTTGTACAATGATGACTAAGTCATTTACTTATGCGACATTAATAAACTGAAAATATTTTATTACCATGATGACATTGCTCCAGTCACAATGCATAAACGTCTCTATAGATACTCAGTAAACAGAGTCGACTTCATTAATGCAATAGCGATACTTTACATAATTAGCTGTGATAAACTGGAAACATGTAAACATCAAAACAGTGCTTTAAAGGAATTTATTTATAGTGTCACAGAAATAAAACATTTTTCAAATGAAGCGAAAATTATATGTCCAAATTAGTTTCTTAAATGCATGACATTATTCCTTTTGAAACTTATCTTAAAAATATATTTTATTTAGCAAATGTATGATTTCTCCCATCAAATCGCCAAAATCGTGAATCTGGTGCATCAACTTGTATAGGATGAGCCTGAGGTCTGTGTGGTTGATTTTTACCAAACGCTCCGTATAAATCAGCCATTGCAACAATATTGTGTGGAGTACTTAGCGTTGAATATCGTGTTGCGTCTCCAGTGCTTGGTATATAAGCATTCACATCATTCCTTTTAGGCGCAGTCCCTCCGTAAACAGAGAAATATGTAGTTGACGGTAACGGTTGGTGAGTGAAAAATGTTTTTGCTCCAACGTATCCATGCCAATATTTCGGTTCAAAAACTACATCTTCTAATGTTTCTTTGAGTAATCTTACTGGTGGAATATTGTAATGAAGTGAACCCTTTTTAGGATAGTCCTCGGGAAATGCAGAGTAGTGTTGCCATCCATTTGGATTTCTGACCGTCCAGTCAAGACTCATGCTAGAAAAATGATTATCTAGAGATATACGTCTATCGATTAACTTTTGTTTTCAAAATGCAATCGAATCGATCTCATTATTCTGTATCGGCTTGTAAATTGTTAGATAACTAATTTATGCTACTCTATTGCTAGAAGACAAAAAGACTGAGAAAAGAATATTCTTCTCGATAACTTAATCAAGTTATTCAACATAATAGTAATAATAAGATGCAGAGCCCTTAATTTCGGTTAGACCCTAGGTGGTAACTAGTGTCATGCCCCTAGTCCTTTGCTCGGTGTAGACTGAAAATTTTATAAAGCTGTATTATTCTCTTAAATCCTTTATTGAATCTTGATGTAGGATCAGTGTTTCCTTCTTAACTTGCTTAGTAATACTGTTTTATTTTACTTGTGCAATTGTTCTTACGATAAATATATTACTCCACCACTTTCTTGTTTCTACTTTTTAGGAAATGTTAAGCATATGATTGACAAATTATCACACTGTCTGTCAGCTGATTCTACCAGTAGTAGTTGCTACAATTCATTCTTGAAGTTCAGTTGTACTTAGAGTACTTCCTGCCATTGGCGTTCATTTCGTTCCATCTGTGAAGAACTGCATGGAGCTGATGCATTTGCTATGCGTTCTTTCTCTGCGCCAACAGCAATCCCAAGCTCAGGCTTACCCCAATATCAAGTTCAAAATAGTTTTTCTCAACAAAACCAAGCCTTTTTAAACTCTATGGCTCAACCGACATTTAGCTTAATGCCAGCGGTTTCTTACTCTACCATTCCACTAGGCACATCCCCAACATCGACAAATGCTATGCTTGGATCTAATATGATACAGTCACAACAACCTGTAATATTTTCAGCGTAAGTTTTAACCTAGTTTGGAATTCAGAGTAGATTTAACATGACATTTTATCCCATTACGTGAAATGAACCAATATTACCTATTCCTTAGGCTAAGAATGTACTAACTTCTGTTATAGTTTATGTCTAAAGTTATTTCTCATTGAATGTGACGATTCTTTCAGGCATACACGAGTTACATACTTTTACCATTATCACTACGATCTTATCACCTAACGTGACCAGATGCGAAATCTTGTCCTTAAATCTCCTGCAGATCAATGGATGACTGAAGAACACTACTCTTAGCGTTGCTGCGAAGAATATTCTTCTCAAAGATGCTGACATTCTTCTCTTGAGGGTATCGCAAACTAAGTCCCCCTTGAAATCCTGATTCATGTAAAGTATCTTATTTTTGAAACAAGTGATGTTTCGTCCCTCTGGACCTTTGGTTTGATATTCTTGTTGATGAATCTTGGTGAGTATCCATTTTGGATGAAGGATTCTTTCAGAAGACCCAGTTCTGCCTCCAGGGCGTCAGGATTGCAGATGCATCTGTTCCGAGTGGTAAGGGATTTAATCAGATTTCGTTTCCATTCAAAAGTTACTCAACTGTAGAAACTTGTTAGTTGATCGTTCCATAGAAAACCCACTTGAAATAGTGGGTAAAGTGAGGTAGGATAAATTCATCAACTACCCTTCAAACCTCCTCAGGTATCCATAGAATCCTTCATTGACTGACTATATCATTTTAAAATTTCCTAAATTTATCCTTGTATTGTGTTTTTCCATGCCAAACTCAAACAGGGCTCCAGGGAACTATTTCCTTGCTCAGTCTGCTCCGCTTGGTGCTCCAGTTGTAGGCGCTCCATCATTTGTTTTCGCTCCAGGTCAACCAAATCAGAATGCTTTTGTACTTGCTCACCCACTATCCCAAGCACCAATTGCAGGGCATATGGCTGCCCATCCAAATCCAGCAAACTGTGTTATCCGTCTCCCCGATGGCCGATTTGTTTTACCTGCCAGTGCTCCTAATAACTTAAATTTACAACCATCATTAACTCGTATTTGTGGTCCCCAGTCCAACTACTTCCCTGTAACTGTATCTGCGCCTACTAGTGTAAATTCATCGACGATATCTTCACTGACTCCACAAGTCGCTCAACCTCCAGGTCAAGTAAGTTTTTTAAAGGAAATCTTACAGATCTTTTAATATTAACGTGTACAATCTTATTTTTCGATTGTAAACTGATAATCTGTTGACAATCTTCCCTTATTGTGCGTTGGTGGCACAGTGGTTAGGACTCTCGCCGACCATGCACATGGTCCGGGGTTCGAGCCCACACCGACACACCTGATATCTTTGGTCGGCCTGCGAAATTTGGGCTACCGATATCCGCGCTGAAAATTCCATACTTGTACCAAAAATACGGTGTGGAATCAAGCTGTAATAAAAAAATTTTAAAAAATTCAAAAAAATAAAATTCATATCTCCTCTATTGTGGCTTAAACCACGCTTGTGTGAGAGTTGTTTATGCTACTCAGTTGCCCTGGTTGTGTTGGTGAGATCTTAAGCCAGGTTTCCATTAACATTCTCGATTGATAAGTTCAAGGTTAATGCTTTTTGCCTCATCCCTCCACAGATATGATGTGTTGTAAAAATACTTCACTGTCGAAATTCAAAATTAGACTATATCTGGACTATATCTTATCAATTCAGATATACGCATAACTAAGACTGTCAGTCTTTCATGTTACCTAGTTCTACTTTGTTATTTTTTCAAAAAGTTTATTTATTTCGGAAGAAATCAACCTCGTTAAATACTCTGGTAATTTGGGTCTCCCCTTTGCCGGTTACGTCCCAATCTTATTATTATTATATCCTTAAATTCCTAGAGGAACATAGGGCTTCAGCCACGCGTCTCCATTGCCTTCGGTTTTCTGCCAACTTTTTCACCCCGCTCCAAGTCTCCCCGCATGCTTTCATCTCCTCTTCACATGACCTCCTCCAAGTCACCCTTGCACTGACGACCAACTAGCCGCTTCCCTTTCGGGTTCCACTCGAGCAATGACTTGTCTAATGCTGGTTTCCTGAGAGTGTGGCCAGCCAATCCATCTCCATTTCTTCCTACCTCTTTGTTTCACAATTGGTTCCTGGTTGGTTCGCTCATTGCCAGAGATCCCTGTTGCTGATGTTTTCTGACCGGCCATCTGATCTTGAGTATTGAGCGAAGGCAACTGTTAATGAAGGTCTGTAGTTTGTTTGAGATGCTCTTTATGACGCGCTGGTCAAGTCTCTGATCCGTAGTAGTAGTAACACTGACTGACGTGACATTAGAGTTGAAAATCCGGATCTTATTTTTCATGCTGAGTGATGTTGACCTCCATACAGACTTGAGAGTAATGAAAGCTTGTCTTGCTTTTCCGATTCTTGCCTTGATATCCTCGTCAGTTCCGTCCGCCTGTAGTTGAAACGATGCTTCCTAGGTGGATAGGTAGGTAAAGGAGGTTGTTTCTTTCAGGTTCCTCCCATTTATGCTGATTGTTGTCTGTGGTTGCTGTTGGTGTTGGCCAGGAATCTTCATCACCTCTGTTTTATATATGTTCGCTTGAAGTCCTATCTTCGAAGCTTATTCTGCCAACTTGTTGCTTTTCACTTGCATGTCTTCCAGTTTGTGGGGAATCAGACAAATATTATCGGCGAAGTCCAAATCCTCCAAGTTCGAGTCCATTTTATGCCTGTTTCCTCATTGCCCGCTGTCTGTTGTATTATCCAATCTACTGCTATCAGGAAAATCATTGGTGATAGCAGACAGCCTTGTCTCACTCCTATCCTCACTTCAAAGGATTCCGTAAGTTTCCCGTTATGGATTGCCTGGCATGCAGCATTGTCGTACAACTGTTTGATGCGATGCATAATTGTCGGTGGCACCCCGTAGTGGCGAAGTAGTTGCCGAATCGCCTCTCGATCGACGCTCTCGAAGGCTTTTTCAAAGTCGATGAAGTTGAGATAGAGAGGTGACTACCATTCCAAGCTTTGTTCAGTGATGATCCGTAGTGTGGCGATTTGATCAATACACGACTTGTTTCTCCTGAATCCAGCTGGTTCCGGTCGAAGTTTCCCATCCAGGGCTTGTTTGATTCTCTCCAGGATGATGCGGCCTAGTATTTTCCTTGGGATAGACAGGAGCATAATTCCGCGCCAGTTCTTGCATTGACCTAATTCTCCTTTCTTCGGTAGTTTAAATGAGTAACCTTTCTTCCAATCCTCGGGTACCTTGCTCTCTTTCCACACCCCTTCTCCAGTAGTGGCGTCATCAAGTCCACTGTTGTCTCTGGATCCGTTTTCAATGCTTCTGCTGGGATTCCATCTGGTCCCGCTACGTCCCGATCTGACTATTCCAAAATGAATAGCTGTTTGTCGGACATCAGCCAGTGGTTTAAGCTAAATGGTCTTACATTCAATCCCTCCATATGTCAGACAGTTAACTTCATCTCCAGACATAAGTGTCACTTACACAAACTTGTTCATTCACATGATGCTTGTAGCATCAAGTCAAGCACTAAATACCTTGGAGTAGTTCCTTCGTCTGACCTTTCTTAATCATTGTGTATCTTGTCGATTTCTAAGAAAATATCCTGTCTAACCTACTACATTAAGAAGTTATGACAATCAGGTAGGTTACCAAAGTTATACACCTCTGGGGAATATTTTCACATACTACAGCTTTCATAAGACCCACATCTGTAATAAGCCTAGATGTTTATGCGGACTTGACTTAGAGATGATACTTTCTCATCCCTTTTGCTTTCATCATCCACCACTTTTCTCCATAGTTGAGAGCAGTTTGCGCTAAAACAGCCTTTCTTTCCTCGTCTCGTTTCATCCATCAGTGTGGATAAGCCTCCAAAACTCTACTGGATTCTAACACCTTTCAGAGATGTGTTATCGAATATCATTACCAATGTTTTTAAAACAGGTTAAATACGGTGCTAGGTTTCTTCATTTCGATTTGCCAGTTGGTTCACCACGCCAAAGTAGTAGTTATTGATCAATCTGAGTACTAATCGTTTTCATGCTGTTGAAAGCGAAGAAGACGAATTTCGGTTCGTATAATCATTCACTTTTGCTATGTAGAATACACACTGTATTTAATTTCCACCTTATACATTCTCTTTTAGGCATTCTATATTCATATGCCAACTAGCTGTGTAAGTGTTGGTAATACAGTCTTCACTACCTCCCAACCGAATTGTGGTGCTAATTTTCAAACTCAACCAATTTCAACAATGAAACCAGGATGTCAAGTTTCCTTTCCTAACTCGCAAATGAATACCTTATCCGGTCAATCTGGTACTTTTCTGACAACTGTTCCTGGATCAACTCAACCTCAACTGGGCACTAGACCACTTGCTAATAATATGAATACTGTTGGCTCTGGTTTAATGAATAGACCTGGAATAATTTTCCCCACCGGTTGTACTCCTACCACTCCAGTAATGGATGCATATGCTGCACAAGTAAGGAGAATTTCCTCAACTTTATATTTGAATATAGAACTATTAGATTTACTCTAAAAGTAACCACAATAATTGCATTTATATAACCATTTATTGTGACTGACTGGTTTCAGCATAATACGTTTGCACAGAAGTGCAGCAGTCTGAGTGTCGCCATACTTCATTTAGCACACAAAGGAAGACAAAAGAGAGAGAGAAAAGAGATTCGAACGAACGATAATAAGTAGAAATGTGAGAGGGAAAAAATACTTACATGGGAAATCACAAAGAGTGAATGCATAAATGCCATTGAGAACGATTTTGAGCCATATCTCCAATAATCTCCAGTTAGGGGTTCTTAGTGTTCTGAGGGCCTCGACTAAAAACAGTTTTCGCCTCCATAAGTGGCTCAAACTGACTGTTAAGGATTTCATTGACTGATGAGGCCATGTTTTGGTTTGACTACCACTAGCTCTTTTCCAGCCCAACCCTATGTCAGCTAATATTGCCCGTTGAAGAAGGTAATGGCTAGGCATGCGTAACACATATCCTGGCCATCTCAATCGATTGACTTTCCCTCCCTACCTAATAGTGTATACCCAACCTTAATATTACTATCTAACATGGGAGATAGAATGCTGGCACCTACTATCAAAGACAGTTAGTCTTTTAGTGCATTTCACTTTCATTTAACATGTCTCAGCCATAAAGGAGGAAAGAGCTAACTGCTGAACAGTTCATATGTCCTTTGACCGATAGCTAGATATTAAGTCTACAACAGAAATGGTGTGAGTTATAACTTTTACCTGACTCTTATCTGCAACAATATCAAACTTGATGTCCTGTCATACCTGACCGTTTTATTGCAAGCCCTAGTGATAACGCCTATCTATCTAAACGTCGACAGGCGTAGCAGAATCCTCAAGGAATTGGTTATAAGCTTACATAGATTTCGATACTATCTAAATAAATAGTATATTTCAGCAGACAGGACATGACCAGGCCTCAGTAGTTTTCCTTTCCATTCTACAATTAGTTCTACCTGTTGTACAACGCTAATGTTATCAATCTCACCTGTCTCTGTCTGTCTGGATTCAACTATCACGTTATTCAGGACACTGCTGATCTCCTCGTTAGATATGTGGGATGTTCATATAGTAGCTAGTAATGTAGCTTTCTTGTTGTAAACGTTAATCATAAACAGTTACTTTGCTTAATATTAAGCCATAGACTCGTGTACATGGAATTTGTGTACCTTGATTGAACACTGGGCAGTAAGTAACTAGTAGCATGCGTCTGGTCCTTAGTTTAGTGTAGACTGAATCCTACCAAGTATGCGATGTGGTCACTATCTTGGGTGGAGACTTACCATCGCAGTGCACCTTAAAGCGTTGGCATTAGATGGTTGGAAGTAATCAATAAGAAGCCCTGAATCTAGGTTCCATGCTTGTCTGCAGTGGTCAGCAAGGCATATCTGCAACTTTGAAGGATATTATGTCCCTTCTGAGATTCGAACCCTTATCGGCTGTTGGTGCAGTCAAAGACGTTACCACTTGGCTGTTTGGGCTCTCGATTGATCTGTAGGACTCTATTTCGCATTTGTAAGTTTACGCCGACTCTGGCGTAGACGAGATGTTCGACTATCGACCAAAGGGCGGGTGTACTGCTCATCAGTCCGCTCCGTCCTCCTGTATGGTTGTGAGACCTGGCCACTGAGAGTGGAAGAAATGAAAAGACTAGCTGCCTTTGATCATAGGTGCCTGCGTTCTATTTCCCGTGTAAAGTGGCATAATAAGGTGAGCAACATTGAGGTTAGGCGTAGAGTTCTAGGTAAACAGGGGAAATCAATCGACGAAGTCGTGAAGCTACATCGACTGAGATGGTTAGGACATGTGTTACGTATGCCAAGCCATCGCCTCCCTCGACGAGCAATGTTAGCGGATATAGGGTCAGGCTGGAAAAAAGCTAGCGGCGGTCAAACAAAAACTTGGCTTCACCAGTCAATGAAATCCACAACAGTTGGTCTAAGCCATGTAGGAAGATGTAGACTTCCAGGCTGGGGTCCTCGGGACGGTAAAAATCTATGGTTGGAAACAATTGGTGACATGGCTCAAAATCGTTCTCAGTGGCGCAGATGCATCCACTCCCTGTGACTTATGATCTTCAATGAAACTGTTTTGTATTTCTTTATTACTCCTTTGTCTCACACCTCTGATCACTGCTTCTATTATGCTTTTCTTGTACTTTCTTCTCTTGCTTCGCGTGCTACACGGAATGTGGCGACTTGAACTTCCGCACATTTGTGCAAAGTTCTATGTCGAAAACAGACAGACAGTAGGACTCTATTAGATACTTTGATAGTGTCATGCGTGTCTAATCCTTTATTTGATGCTGATGAGTGCTAACAAGCACGAAGCCTAAGTCCAAGGCTTCCTGGCGATCGCATCCAACCACCTAATGGAATTTGTATAATGATATTATTTGTAAGTCGAAAATCTGTATCTGAAGAGCAACACACGGATGGAAAACTATAACCGTAATCATATTCGTTGTTAACTTTGACCATAGGCTAAGTTGTATGTTTAAAATTGTAGGTTTTTTTGTCACTCGTGATCTAGGGAATTAAAAAAACTTACTGAGTATGATTAAAGTGCATTGCTTTCATTTCTGTCATTCCCTAGAATCAACAGAAACTCGCTGTCTGCACAAATCCATCACAGTTTACAAGTCTCCAAGCTTTGCCTAGTGGAATGGCTGTTGCTCGCTTACCAAATGGAACCTATGCTACAGTATCTCTTAATTCTACTGGAATGTCAGGTTCAACACCGATTTTTGTAAACAATACTCCTATTCCATCCACCTTAGCAAATCCTGTCGATACATCATCAAATATTCCCCGGCGTAGTACCTCTACATCTCGTTCAAAACAAAAAATCAATAACACTCCACCCGCCGATACAGATGTCCTACGTCGTCTAGATGATCAAATCACTGCATTACAGCGTTTACCTGCTCCTACAGAAATGCAGCTTAATAGACTAAAGCAACTTGTTGAAGTTAGGCAGCAGTTAACAAAAGTATCTAATATGGCTTCTGCTAACTCATCAAATATCTTAGCGCCTCGTAGCTCAACAACATCTAGTAATGCTACTAATACTGCTCCTCGTTCAAATTCAAGCTCTACTTCTGTTCAGTTGACACCGACTGTGGTAAGTTTTCAAACATATACTTCTCAAATCTTAATAGCTTCCTCAGTATTATTTCTTTTTTTAAACTTCGTTAACGTATTTTCATCAAAAGTTGGAAATTATCTAAAGTCACTTAACTATAAACGACTGGGCCTTTATAACATTGTACACTTTTGAGCATGTATAATAGCTTTCAAATTTCTGTCGGTCTCCGTAAAAGCCTTCATGACAAGTCGAACCGATTCACTCTTGTACAAACTTCTACGATGATAGTTCATCTCTTGAAAGCAGTACGTCCAAGTTTTTGAGCTCTCTTCACTTGATTAACACAAGCCGATTCCTAGATTTATACAAGATTTCACTAAGAACTGATATCAACTATAGTCGTCGTTGTAAAGTATCAGTCTCTGATCATTAATGTGCAATGAACTTCATTCCCTTTATTTTATAACGTAATTTATGATCTACATTATGTTTCTAGTTTGTTGTTGTTATTCTCCAAATTTATTTACTGGAGTTTATATATATTTGTGATTCCATTTTCTATATTTTATTTCAGCGTCGGGAAGTCCTGGATTTACTCACACAGTATAATTTGGTACCGCGACCTCCTGTGGTTAACAATAATGAAGAAACCTTCATAGTAGAATTTCGACTAAATCAACAAAGATATCAGCTTAGGCTTACTCGTGCACAAAAAGCTGATATGGAACGTTTACTTTTCAGTATTACATCACAACGGCAGGCTGAAGTTTTAACTTTTTTCCAACAAGAACAAAGTCGTTTACTTGCATCAACACCAAGAGCTAGATTACCGCCTCCTCCTTCTGTTAGTCAGAGTAGTAATACAACAGCAGCTATGGCTTCACCTCCAACAGTTGGGTTCGGTATTGCTTCTCAAGCTTTGAGAATACCAACCGGGATTCAAACGTTTGCAGCAGCTCCTTCCTTGCCAATGCCTAATTTTCCAGGTGCATCTGGCTTAAGACTTGTTGCAGCCCGTCCTGTTGTACCGCCAAATGCTATACCAGGGTCTGCCGTTCGTCCAAGTGTCCCTCCAATATGCTCTTCAACACCCGTCATGGGAGTTGTTGCAGCTTTAGCTGTACCGCCTCCTATGGGAACCTGTGTCAGCAGTTCAAGTGAGTAATTATTTTCTTATAGCAACAATACTTTTGTGCTATTATCATCAGTAGTATTTTTTAATACTGGTGTATTTTAGAATGGATATTAACAAATTCTCCATGTCCTAGTTTGGGACTCATCGGAAGTACGGAACCACCGGGGTTCAAACCCAGGACCCTCCAGTCAAAAGGCGAGCTCGTAAACAATTCAGCCACTGGGACCTGACTCAATGGCTAGCACATAAATTCGAGCCCTTACCAATACACGTGATTTTAGCGCGACTGGCACCAGTCGGCCATCGGTTAGTACTTGTCCTCACTTCCGACCTGGTGGACTCCACTAGTCACGACTTTTCATTAGAATTCCTGCAACCAGTCACTAGCGGGCATCAGATTACTTTTCACATTACTTTTCTTTAAATGGATTTGATTTGTTTCAAATTTCATCACTGATTGATATCAGTTAGGGAACCATTGTAAACCAACAGAGAGTGCTGGGCAGTTATTTCCTCCTAGTTTAGGACTCATCGGTAGTACGCACCCACCGTGCTGCGCATGCCTAACCATCGCCTCCCCCGACGGGCATTGCTAGCTGATATAGGTGCAGGTTGGAAAAGAGCCAGTGGTGGCCAAATAAAAACATGGCATCAATCCATGAAATCCTTGACAGTTAAACTGAGTCAGGTAGGGAGATGCAGACTCCCGGGTTGGGGCCCTCGGGACTGACTCTAGGAATCAATGGCTGGAGACAATAGGTGACATGGCTCAAAACCGTTGTCAATGGCCAGCGCAGATGTATTCAGTCTCTGTAATCTTTCATATTCCTTTCTACCATTACCCATTCTGTTTCACTCTTATACTTGTCAGACTGTATTGATTCTCTTCACTCATCTTCTTGTCTACCTCTGTGTGCTATTTGGAACGTGGCAACTCGAACTGCTGCACTTCGGTGCCAAGCTCTGTGTTGAATCCAGACAGACAGACGCACCCACCGAGTTTACGAAAGTACAAAATATTTTATATGAATAACAAACAACTTTTTTCTGCTTCTCCTCTTCACGACAAATTATTGTATTTAGAGAAGATTTTCTGTATTTCTGTCGTTTGGCTTTAGGTCACCTTGTCAATCAAGCTTTGGAAACTAGAGTAAAATGCTCTAATTTGAGTCGCTTTAGATGCTTTCGTTAATGCGTTTGGATTGTTGAATGTTAGATGTACATCTCTGTACTGTAAGTATTTATACGATTATGAGCAATCAATTGCACTCAAGAAGTCATCCACTCATCAGTCTTATATCCCTGTGCGTTATATCAGATCAACTTGGACAGTGAGGAACTGTCCTCATGTTCAGCTTGGTTGATCCTACGGATCATGCCTTTTAACTAAAACTTCTGGAAATCCTAATAAACAGAAGACCAGTAGTTCAGCGAACAGTCTCTTTTCAGTGGCGAATTCATTCATTCAGAGCTGTACAATCGCGTGTGTGTGCATTAAATTTGTCAAATGAAAATACATTTAGTAAGTTTTTGGTGGAGTTACGTAATACAGAAGGCGTTTAGATGGATAAGAGGGTATTAGCAAAAGTGATGAGTTGTCACAAACGATTGTTGTAGAAGTGTTACGTAAGATACTTTATATGACTTCGACTTCAAAGGTGACCTACTCAGTGATGTCCTTAGAAGTAGAATTCCCACATCTTTAAGAAGAACTTTCTTCGCGGCAACATTGAGAGTAGCGTTCTCCAGTCGCCCGCTGACCTTCAGAAGCCTTAAGGACAAGATCTCGCGCCTGACCACTTCTCTGTGTATATATCAGTTCACCTGTTGCTGTGGAGCCAGTCACATTGATCGTTTGACCCACATCCTGTCAAAAAGGGTCAAAGAACACTATCCAGCGTGGTTGCAGAAAGACAGTAGTGGCCGTACAAGGAGTACAATGATCGAACATCTCGTCAACACTGGGCATTTCATCTCAACAGACGCCTCCTTCAAAGTAATCTACAAAGTGAAGAACAACCTGCCAAAACAAATATGTTTCCGTCTTCTGTGCATTGCAGAAGCCCTAGCCATTCAGTTGGAAGAACCAGAACTATGCATACAAAAGAAAATTATTCAACCACTTCTACTCTGTTAATTTGACTTAACTTTTGCTTGTATGCTTATTTTTCTGACTACTTAAAACTCTCGTGTAATTCCATATGTTATTTTGTTACTACCCTCTTATTCATCTGAACGCCTTTTGCATTTCGTAACTCCACCAAACACTTACTAAATGTATTTTCGTTTGACAGATTTAATGTACACACACGTACATAACAACCATATATATATATATATATATATATATATATATATATATATATATTTGCGATTGTACAGCTGAATGAATGAATTCTCCTATGAGAAGAGACTCTTCTCTGAACTAATGGTCTTCTGTCTATTAATGTTCAAAGAATCTATCTCAGATCTAATCGCTAATTAACGGTATTAGATAGTTGTTGAATCATATCACGAATAAGAGGAAGTTATAAGAGGAAGGAAGCTAAATGGTCCTTCATGAGTCATGATTGTGAAGCGGGAAGTAGGGTGAGACGGCTGTCTTGACTGTTTCTTCTAGCTGTATATTGACTCGTCAGTCAATCAATCTAGCTCCAAATCAGTGGAATCTCTGCAAACCTATTTGTGAATAAGCAAGCTTTCGAAGTAGAGATGTGTTGTACGCTATCAAAGAGCTTTTTCTTCAAGTGACATGCATTTATTAACAGTAAAATATGTGCACGTCCGGTGTAAATCTGTGTCGCTTTTCTAAATAATTATATAACCATCCAGAAGTACTAATTATTCCTGTAATTCTTCATTTCTCTTCAGTGTTCGCACCAGCCTTGGCATTAAACTCCACAGCATTAAGTATGCCTACAGTTTCATCTAGTCTTTCAATGCCTTCAACAGTTATGTCTAATACAAATGTCACAAGTGGACTAATTACAGCAATACCTGTAACTTCCTTCAATTCAAGTGTAAGTGGAGCACAGAATTTTGTCCTATCAACCAATTCTGTTGCAGTCAGTTCTACATCAGTAGTACGATGTTAACTCCAGATACAAATGGATTTGCTATACAATCTCTACCACAATCAACCTCTTTCACTTTATCCTCTGATTCTAGTAATTTTGTTAATTCAATTCGACCAGTTGCTTTAAATCTTCAACAGGTAAGAAGACCATATTATATTGATTTTTCTATTTTTGAAAGCTTTTACATTTTCATTTTCGTGATATTTTTCTATCCAACTGTTGATTTTTTTTGGTCTTCATGCACAAATCCCCTGGCTTTGGTCTAAACAACTGGTATTTTATAGGACTAAGTTTGGATTACAAATTAATACCTAAAGGTAAGCCGGATCGAGTACTTCGGTTAAGACTACCAGATGGTTTTGTTTGTTATTCATTGGCAGGCTCAATTTACTTCCAGAGTCTGAGCACCAGTGTAAATGTAACACTATACATCGGTCGAAATTTTGAAGAGCAATTATCATTACCACCAGTCTATCAGACTAACATGCTCTTGTCCACGTCGAGTAAGATACTAAGTCGCATCATCCTGAAGAGAATAAAGGATGCACTGAATGCAGAACTCTGTCCGCAACAAGCTGGATTCAGGAAAGCCAAATCATCTGCTGATCAAATTGCAACTCTACACATCATCATCGAACACAGTATAGAATGCCAGTCAAACCTCCACCTCAATTTCATCGATTTTGAAAAGGCCTTCAACTGATAGCATTGACCGCGAAGTAATTTGTGAACTACTTCAACATTATGGCGTGCAGTGCCCAAATCTTTATCAACTTCATTCAACAGTTGGCTATATGACAATGAGACGTGTCAAGTGATCCACAAAGTGAAAATCAGTGAGGTGTTGGAGGTGAAGATGGGAGTTAAGACAAGGCTGTTTTTTATCACTGATGATATTCTTAATTTTGGTGAACTAGATTATGCGAAGGGCTGTGGGGAGAGGAAAGGCAGGAATACATTCAATCAATGGGAAGACTCTAGAAGATGTGGACTTCGTGGATGATTTGTGTCTTTCACACAAACTTAAAGACTTACAGGCAAAAACCAACAAACTGGCTGAAGAATCGGTGAAGACAAGACTTCAAATGTGTGTAGAGAAGACGAAGGTGATGAAGAAACCAGCCCACCAATAGCAACAAAAACAACCAACACCAATGACCAACAAGGGAAGAAATCTGACAGAGATTACTTCCTTCACTTATCTAGGAAGTATCGTTTCAACTACAGGCATTCGGAACAGATGAAGATGTCAAAGTCCAGTATCGGAAAGGCATGGCCAATACGCGTTGAAGACATGAAAAGGTTGATTGCTTTCGATCATAGATGTCTGCGATCTCTGTCTCACGTTAGGTGGTTTCACAAGATAAGTAATGTTGACGTTAGGCGTAGAGTGTTGGGCAAACAGGGAAAATCAATCGACGAGGCTATAAAGTTACATAGACTAAGATGGCTAGGTCACGTGCTGCGCATGCCTAACCACCGCCTCCCCCGACGGGCATTGCTAGCTGATATAGGTGAAGGTTGGAAAAGGGTAAGTGGTGGCCAAACAAAAACATGGCATCAATCCATGAAATCCTTGACAGTTAAACTGAGTCAGGTAGGGTAGGAGATGCAGACTTCCGGGTTGGGGCCCTCGGGACTCTAGGAATCAATGGCTGGAGACAATGAGTGACATGGCTCAAAATCGTTGTCAATGGCGCAGATGTATTCAATCTCTGTAATCTTTCATATTCCTTTCTACCATTACCCATTCTGTTTCACTCTCATACTTGTCAAACTCTATTGATTTTCTTCACTCATCTTCTTGTCTACCTTGTGTGCCAATTGGAACGTGGCAACTCGAACTGGTGCACTTCGGTGCCAAGTTCTATGTTGAATCCAGACAGAGACAGAGACATCGGAAAGGCAAGATACCCTTTCATCAAACTGAAATCAATTTGGAAATCTTCTGCACTCAACATAAGGAACAAGATTCGGATTTTCAACGACAATATCAAGTCGGTCAGTTCTTCTATGTGGGTCAGAAACACGTGCACTTTGAGTCATGGGAAGCATTTCTGACAAACCACTGTAGACTTTTATGAACAACTGTCTCTTCACTGACTCCATACTGAAGATGAAATGACCAGCTAGAAAAAATTAGCAACAAGAAACTCAGGAAACTAACCAACCAAGAACCTACTACTCTAAAAAATATTCTGAAGAAAGCGGAGATGGATTAGACACACTCTGAATAGGCTGTTGCGTAACTTCATGCGTCATATCGTAGCTCGAGTAAAACACGAAGGAAAATCGATGAGTTAGGCGGGGGTTCCAGTGTGACCTGGAGAAGATTGTTAGAGGAGAAGATGAAAGACTATGGGGAATCGTGGGACCAACTGAAGACGACTGCAGAGAATAGGAAAAAGTGAATCAGTGTTGTTGAAGCTCCGTGTTCCACTCAAAACCCAAGGGGACAATAATAATCAGACTAACATATCTATATCTACTAAGTCCTTCATCGCATACTAGAAGTTTCTCTGGTGTGCTCTGTTTTATCCATTGTTTGTTATCAGACAACATCAAAATTCAAGGCGATCAGTCTTTTTTTTCTATCCTCATACAAAATGATATTTGTTTCGATTATTTTACCCACTGCTTATATTATAGGCTGCCAGAATCGGTCGGTTACGTGCATATCTAACCAATGATCTTAAATTGGCAGTTGAAAGACCACCAGTATTGTCTACCAGTGATACATCAAAACTACCTACTCCTGTAGAATTATTGGAGGCACTAGCACCTTATCATGTCCTCAATGATGCTGATAACACTGAAGAAGCTCTTAACAAAGGTTAGTTGTTTTACAATAATAGTAATAATAATAATAATAGTTATGTGTACGTCGGTGGTTTCGGGGATAGAATTTTCGCCAGTCACACACACACACGTGGTCCTGGGTTCGATTCCCAGTTGACTGACTGACTCCTCAACCTTGCCTAGTCAGTAGTAGTAAATCGTGTGAAAATTGGGGGGATGCTTGGGTGCAAAGGCTACCAACCGCATCCCTCAAAAAACAACTCCACAGCTACTGAAACTTCAAAGCTCAAGCTATAGAAGCCTCATATTCCATCTAGAACGCATAATAGAAATGGTAATAAACTTCTTGTTATTACCGAGTGTTATTGATTTGTGGAGTCATCCAACTTGACTTGAATGCGCCTCCAAAACACGACACTTTAATCAGTTGATCTCTTGAAAGTATTCCCAACACTGAGATAAACAGGCAAAGTTAAACTTTAGGCACCAGGCACTACCAATCAGCAAATGACTTTGAACGCACCAATCACGTGAAGGAGACACTTTTGTGTATGGAAAATTGCATAAAAAAACTGTATGAAAGTGTTACAAAGGATACCTTCCTCTCACATGTGATAAAAATAGCTCTCAGTTTTACATTGGAGTATCAACAGAGTATAATTCGATTGTGGGTGAACTTTATTTTTATAAAGTCTCAATGTTACGCAGTAATACTTACTGTAGATCTGTAGATTAAGCTCGAAACGTCATCAGCAAATATTATTGTATAAAACTGTGAGATTTTATCAAAATAAATTTTACTCACAATGGAATTACACCCTACCACAGTGCACAAGTTCCATTCTTATATCAATAGAGGAATTTAACCGCATTCGGTGCATGTAATTATTTAGATCTTCTAACTCTATCAGTAACCTTAATCTTTCCTGAACCTAACTCCTAACGTGAAAATATCCCTAAACTAACTGTAATCTAACTCAAACCAACCCTAGTGTTGCCTTTAATAGATTAACTTAACCCTAACTTGTCCTTGGCTTAAAGCGTAACTTAATCTTTCCCAAACCTAAGGTGAAACTTGCTAGAAATCCCATTTATTAGCATAACACTTCGATGAGCATGTTTTATTGATGACGAAAACATTATTTCCCAGGTTTCACTGACTTGCTCAGTGAGCGTTTCAAGGTCATTGGTGCGGTGGCACTCCGGTGGTATGTTTAACTTGGCCTGCATTTATATACAACTTTTTTTGTATTGACAGAAGACAGTAAAAAATGTGGCAAGTTGTCATAATCATAGTTATCCCGTATTAGTCAGTGCATAAGAGGAGTTCAATAATGGCGTTACAGTTGAGTAGTTAGGTTATTTATTTATTTATTTAAACGCAGAAAAAACTAGGTACAATCTGGCACCACCAAGAAGGATGCGCCATACAATAATAATAAAATAACATAGATTAAAAGTAAAAACATAAGTAGAGAACAGATAAAGAACTTCATCTGGAAGGAAAATAGTCATGCTTAACAAGTTCAAACAGTATTCGTTAACTACCATCGGGAAGGGAAGAAAGAAGGAAATTGCAACACGTTCTCCACTGATTACGGTTCTTGGCCACATCCGATAACGTTTCGAGCTATCTCGCGGACCCCAACCAGGAAGTCTTAACACACCAACCGATGCTAATCTAGCACAAAAATCCTTCATCCCACGACGCCACCTCCTCCTTTTCCATCCCGTCACAGGACTAGCGAACAGAGACCTGTATGAAAGCCTCTGGGATGACATTCGCACCCCATGTCCAAGCCACTGGAGCCGGTGTTTCCAGATGACGACACTCAATGAATGGTGATCTCCACTGTATTCGAAACACATGCCGCCGAACCTCAGGTGAATGGGTCGTAATCAGGAACTCAGAGAGAAACAAGAGAAAATATGGAATTATGTAAGAGTTCAAAACAAATCAAACAGTAATAAAGACTTTTAAAGTAAAAATCAAGTTAGTAGATATCGACAAGGTTGTTACCATGATAGTAGAAGTGACTGAATAATTTTCTTCTGTATGCAGACCTCACATTTCTATATCTGAATGGCTAGAGTTTCAGTGATACAGCGGAGACGAAAGCGTGTTGTGTGTTTAACAGGTCGTTCTTTAGCTTGTAGATTACTTCGAAGCATTAGTTTGTTATGATAGAATGACCACCAGTGTCGTCACTACTACTACTTTCCTGCAACCATGTAGGATGCTGGGGACATCACTCGTACCCAATTCCCATGAAACTTCATCAACTCTCTTACAAACATTCGAGATGTTCATGAAGCCGGTTCATCCTCCCGTAGGAGATAGCCGAACTAAAGAAGAAGAAGAAGAACCATGTAGGATAGTGTTCTTGAACGGGATGTGCACTGAATGACCTATAGACTTTACTGCACAGGCAGAAACAGGTGAGCTTGATAATATTCCCTTTTGAACGCTTCCTTATTATCACATTTCACCTATGATTATAAGAACTCATCACTTTTAGTGGTGGTACTTCCCCCTTTTGTGAAAAGAAAAAAAGCTGTATGTGAATACGATTGTACGGTTAAAGGGAAAGAAGAAGAAGAATGAATTCACCGAAAGGAGAGAGCGTCTTCTCTGAACTACGTGTTCTACTCTCCTCTAATGTGTATATTTACTTTCTTTTAATCGTTATTTAAACGCTTTCTATTATAAAACTTATGAATTATTTTGCTACTGGTCTCTCTTTTTTTCTATTTTAGTCGACAAAATACTGGAGAAATCTGTTAATCTACTTTTAGAAAAAAAGAAAGAGACAATCGAAGCTGTAAATTCACTGCTTTTCAGAGAATCTCTGGTATGTATAATACTACTGTATATGCATAAAAAGTACCTTCGATGTATTTAGAATTCATTCAATAAAATTAACTTGTTTCATGTGCTGTTCACAACTAGCCTTTTAAGATAAAGACCAATTATTTGATATTCAAGTCTTGGTTTGTAGGGATTTAATTGGTTACAGGATTTCATCATGAGCTGACATATCTTAGAGAACCATTGGAAAACCAACAAGGAGTACTGAACATCTGTTTCGTCCTAGTTTGTGACTCTTCGGCTGTACACACCCACCACCAAGGTTCGAAACCAGGACCTTCTGGGTACAAGTCGAGCTTGTAGACCATTAGGTCACTGGGACCCGATCCAACGGCCCATGAATTCTAACCTCTGCCAATTCACGACATAGCGTGGCCCCCAGCCAATGTCTTCGGCGTCGGTGGCACAGTGGTTAGGACTCTCGCCAACCATGCACATGGTCCGGGGTTCGAGCCCACGCCGGCGCATACCTGATATCTATGGTCGGCCTGCAAAATTTGGGCTACCGATATCCATGCTGAAAATTCCATACTTGTACCAAAAATACAGTGTGGAATCAAGCTGTAAATCAAAAATAAATAAAAAAAATATTTGTCCTCACACCTGACCTGCTGCACCCTACTGGTCACGACTTCCACTAGAACCCCAGGTAACTGCCTACCTGAATAGGGCAGGTCGCTAGTGAGCATCATTGATATTCAAGTGTTGGTTGGGTATGTCGTGAATTGGCAGAGGTTAGAATTCATGGGCCATTGGATCGGGTCCCAGTGACTCAATGATATACGAGCTTGCCTTGTAACCAGAAGGTCCTGGGTTCGAACCTTGGTGGTGGGTGCATACAGCTGAAGAGTCCCAAACTAGGACGAAACAGTTGTCCAGTACCCCCTGCTGGTTTCCAATGGTTCTCTAACATATGTCAGCTCATGATGAAATCTTGTAACCAATTATTTAACTTTTGATTCTTGAACTGTTGAGTTCATCAAACTATTCTGCCTTATAATTTGTTTAGGTTAGTGTCAACTTTCTCGTAGGTCTCGTTGGCCTCTGTTGATATGTCAGCGGCTAGTACAGACTCTGCTGAAAATCAACAATGAAGTAGTTCGGTAGAGGATGTTGGCTAGCAGTAGAATCCACGATGCGCATTTCGTCTTATTTGGAGCTCGTCACCATCTACCAAACTACTATATGTTTATTCTCAGATATCGTCGAAGCGTCTCTAATATAGAAGCCGACATTTTGGTCAAATCAGTCAACGGGAAAATCGAAATTGACTGTTGCACAGAAGGTGACCCAAGGGATCTAATGTAATTGTGCTTTGGTGTTTGAAACGAAGGGTATCGTCAATTCATTCAATTGAAATCGCAGATACACCAAACTGACGAGTCTCAGAAAGGATGAGATGCGCACCCTGGAACTCCACTGCTAGTCACACCATCCACCGAATTCGTTTGATATAGTTCTGTTGTACCTGACATTTTATCCTGATCTAAAGGTGCAGATGAAAAGAGATGCGAAAGTATCGTTAGTTAGCTAGTTAGTTAAGAAACCGCTTAATCTAGGTTTTTAGTAGCTGTTAACAGTGATCAGCAAGGGATATCTGCCAGTTGTTTTTTTCTCTCAAAGAACTTATATCTCTCCTTAGGAAGTTGAAATCTACATTACTCGTTCCTGACTTCGAACAGGTAAGTGCATTGATTTGTTATAATACCCTATATTACTAAATTCCTTTGTATGAATGGACTATGTACGACAATTAGTCACAGGATAGACACAGTCGGATTTCTTAAGGGTTACACATAATACACAATAGATGCTTGTTCAAAGTTTCTTATTGATCCACTTTCAAACTGTAATGCCATGTTATATGATGGATGCGCTTAGGAGAATAGACACAGCTACATCGATTTGCTATCCATCCATCCGTCAGTGTGACCTATTCACACGTAAAAAAATTGTTATATGGTCTCAAAAACCTAGATGTTATTAAGGCATTATTGTTGCATTATTACTCATCCGTAGTTTCTTTTTTTAGTAAAATTGCTTTTCAGTAATTTATCAAAATTATCTGTTCCTGTTTTACACTATCATATAAATAGCAAAAACTGGAACCATTTTTGGAAGATCGCCTGTTACTAGCTAATATGGCATTGGATTTAGAACGGGATATTTTCAATGCCGAAAAAGAGATATTCACAGAAGTAACTAAACACGACAAAGAGGTATCCAGTAATAATTGTAATCCTAATGTAAATCCTATCGAATCTTCTAAACAAGACGAGTCAACTGATGAGAACAATGTGAATAGAAAAAGGCAAAGCCAAAAATTCACGCCAATTTTAAAACATTCAACATCACTACTTCCGGCACCATGGTGTAAACTTTTAGGTCCACTTGCCTACCTTCATCCTTTAACCTTTGATGTGAATGGAAAAACAAGTGTTGCAGAGATTCAATTGCCTACAGAAGAACCAGAGTGTATATCACTCGACGATGATGATGATGATGGCGACGACGATACAAAAAATCAATCACAGTCTTTTGTGAATTCCTCAACATTTCAGTCCAACCCTATGATTCAATCATCGCATAGTGAAAACAATAACAGCACAATTGTAACTACTAGAAATAATAATAATGATGATGAAGAAATCAATGATGAGTCGTCAGATGAAGCTGAAGCCGATCGTCTACTTGGTCTTGGAATTCCTTTGGTGAATAGATCAAAAATGGATAAAAATTCTACTAATGGATTATTACTTGATGAAGACAACAGGCCTATAGAGGGGATTATTAAAAAATGTGAGGAATTCGATGAAGCTTATGATTTTTGGCAGGAATTAATGCATGAAAGAGATATGCATATTGAAGATATGAATACTAGCCTTTTGGAAAATACTTTCAATGATGATTCAAATTCTATGGTAAATTAATTTTTTTTTGTCTAAACTCTTTTAATCTATTTATTATTCAAAAATATGAAGTGTTTCAGGATACAGTCTTGTAATGTGAAATTATTTCATGTGTGTGTGTGTGTGTATGTCCATCATTCTGACTGTTCACCGATTATTGTTCACTAAGTCTAACAATGTGTCGATTGTGACTAAATTTCTCACTGACTGACGACTGACTGACTTCAACATAGAACTTTGCACCGATGTGCGGCAGTTCAAGTTCAAGCCACACTCCCTCCTTGTAGCACACAAAGCAAGACAATGAAGTAAAAAGAAATGAAAAATAGAGACAGTAAACAGAGATATGTGGTAAAAAGAATAGTAATATCAAAGAACAAAATAGTTTTATTAGAAATTATACGTCATAAGGAGTGGATGCACCTGCGCCAGCCATTGAAAACGATCACTTTGAGCCATATCACCAGTTGTCTCCAGTCGTCATTGCTTTTACCATCCCGAGGACCCCAACCAGTGAGGAAGTTTACACCTTTCTACGTGGCTAGCTGTTATAAATTAAATGTCGTGTATTTCATTGACTGATGAAGCCATGTTTTGGTTTGACCACCTGTGACTCTTTTCCAACCTGATCTATCCTATTTCAGATAACATTGTCCGTCGATGAAGGCGATGACTAGGCATATGTAACACATGTCCCAACCATCTCTATCGGTGTAACTTTACAGCTGCGTCTACTGATGTTTCCCCTCCTTATTAGCACTCGACCTCAATATTGCAATGAGTCGTGGCCCTCTTGAATAGTGTTTGTATACAATTCCTTCTGTGTCTTATTGGATTATTGCTTTTGTAATTGGCTATTCGGTCTCTGTTTTAGGTGTTACTATCTCCTGACTGGAACTTAGTTTATTCTATTACCATAGAAAAAAAACAACTTAAATTTTGCGTGATCTTTTAGTCTACTCACTTGACGACTGTTTAAAACCGGTTGTATTTTGTTTGTTAAGATCCTCCCCGTACAGATGACCCTACGATAGTTGAGCAAGTCAGGACGTAAAAATATTGAGCCTGACTCTTTCTATAACCTCTTTACTTTGAGACGTGAAAGCCAATTTAGCTAGATGGTTTGCTATCCATCCAACTGATGAAACACCTTACTACTGTTATACCCCTATGCGCTAGCATTTTATGATTTCGTCTTCAAACTCCCAATCATAGATTTATCGCTTTTAGTTTAGCGTGCTAAGACCTTTTGAAACATTCATTTCGGCTAACGTGACTCATTAAGTCATTGCAACATTCAAGGTAACAACTTTCATTTGAGGTTTTTAAATCCCATAAACCCCATTTTAGTTTGTAGATGCCCACCACGAAGAGTCAACACTTTAGGGGAAAATATTCTACAGTGTTCTTTTTTTTTGCTTCTCAGATGTTGTGAAATCAATCATTTTATTACAGCTGTTCCTTAAAAGTTAATGAGTAATACTGGTATCAATATCGAAAAACGTATAAGGCAAGATCTCAAACGCATTAACATAATTCACATATGTTAAGTAGTCTCCTCAAATTGTTTACATAACATAACTGCATTTTTTAATTGTCGTTCTTTCCAATATTTTATTGATATGTTGAAGGCAGACAAGTGTTGATCACTCCTTGAGCGCTAATCTCCGGATCAATAATACCAATAATAATAGTAGTGTTGTTTTTACTACTATAATTATTGGAGGTAGTGTTAAATAGCAGGCTGAATTGATTACGTATATTTCGCAAAACCGATTTATTATGTTTTGTAGGATTTTTTTTGCATCGGTTCGGCTTACATGTTGTTGTCGGTGACAAATATCTCAATCGATTATTCTACTCATTTTTGTCACCTTTATATTTGTTATTATGACTAGTTACTTACTGCCTTTGGTTCCGAGTGGAACATAGGTCTTCAGTAGTATCACATCTCCATTTAACTTGTTATTTGTAGTCCTTTTTTAACTGTGTCAACGACTCCCCATAAGCTTCTATGTCACCGTTAGATCCACATGCCCCAACTAATCGATTTCTGTTTGAGGGACTGTCTGGTGCGCAATATCACTAACGGTCTTCTCAGCATGTGTCCAATCCACCTCAGCTTCTCTCTGCATACTTGTTGAACGATATCTTCCTAATTGTTTCATCACACTACAGATTTCCCTGTTTCTAGGCTTATCTGACTATCTGATCTTCAGTATGCAGCTAGCTGTTAATAAAAGTTTGCAGTAACCTGTGGGAGATTTCTGTGTGACGCATACTCAAAGTCTCTGAATCATATAGAACGGGTGTAGATCAGTTCATATAAGGCTTCTTTTACTGAGGTTTTGTCAACTGAGATGCCTCATTTTCTCTCACCACTCCCCTCCCCAACCTGACACTACCCCAATACTTTTGATCTATCAATCTGAACGAAGAATATTCTTTTCAGTAATTTCTCCTCTTCAGGTCTTACAATGATAAAACATAATATCTGTTATCGTTACAGTAATGACCAGTTATATGGCGGATACATTTTCACATAGAATAACAGATTAGTTACAGATGTAACAAAGCAAATAGAATTCGTGTGACAAACATGCTAGTTGGGAATTCAATTACAAAATATTGCGAAATAGGAGACAATAGTGGTAATGATTAGTCATAATAGATTCGTAGAACTAGGGGGGGGCAGTAAAAATTGACAAATCACTTCAAGGTTATAAAAGGTATCTCAGGTGATTGGTTAGTACAAAGTAGTGAGTGAGTACTGCCGATGATTCCCAAACTAGAATGAAACGGCTATCCAGTACACCCTCGTTTCCAATGGTTCTCTAACATATCAATCTATTTTCAAACTTGTAAAAAGCAGAGTATTATTTTCCTTTAAAGAGGAGATAATAAGACGACAATGAGAAGTTCATGAAATAGCCAATACCTGAATGAAACAGGTGGAGACATATATTGAGAGAAAAAAGATAATATCACTGATAATAAGTCCGCATAATACAAATGGAAAATTCCATAGTATTGAAAGAATGCTGAAGAAACTGAACAAAAATGACTATGAAAAGAATATTCTTCGTTTAGATTGACATTTAATAAAAACATTGTAAAGTATTCCGCCTCCATTTTTGAATAATATTAAAAGTGCATATACACATACTTGTGTAACGATAGAAGATAAGAGATTGAGTAACAGACGTTTATTAAGGAAAAATACATCCTATTTATACAGTCTTAGCCATAGTAAAGTTTGACTAGATCACAGAGAAATAAATTGTTCTGATTGGTCGGTTGATTAGCCCAAGTTTAAATAAGCTGTCCAATGAGGTTATTCCTCGTAAACCAATGTAAACTAAATCCAGATTGATTTGAGAATAGACACACTTCTACCTCTGCAACCAATTTGTGTCCTGTACTATTGTCAGTAGTATGGTATATAAAGAGACGTTCGTCGACATAAAAACACAGATAGCAAAGAGATAGATTTTGTGTCAGAAAAAGTAAATGATACAGCATTGCTTAGATGCACGGGAGATCGCGTGAAAGGAACACAAAGAAACAAAATATAAAGGTAAAGGCTAGATGTTTACAATTGGTGCATTGAAGATAAATAAGGTGTATATAATTTATTATGGATAAGATTTTATTTTGATAAGTCACACAGTGTTACACAGTAATATTAACCGATGACCACGTTTCGAGCACAAACTATTGCCACTCATAATCATATCAAGTCACTCACTCACACAACCTATTCTTTCATTTATATACATGTGAGGAATCGACTAAATACTTGAATAAATATCAATATAAGATAATGTACATTCACAAAAAACAATATGAGTGTCATTGATCAATTCCAATGAGATGGGAAATAAGACGAGTGTTTTTATAGTCATAATAAGGAACTTGTTAGAATGTTGTGATGTGCTTGAATTGAAATAGAATTTTAAGATTATTTATTATCCTCTTCTGATTTGACTGATTGGTGGTAATAATATCTTCCATATTTCTGGTATTCGCGCTGAGTCATTTCTCTTGCATGTATTGGGTGTAGATCATTGGATGAACCAGGATTCAGTAATCAATCTCTTTCAACCTCCACCTACATAGATTACTTTTTAGAATTTTAACCCTCTGTCACCATGCTATTCTGTGATTGTGTGTGTTAATGCATGCAGTGCAGTTGCTGAGCTTTTTTCTAAATTACTCATCTTCTCGCGGTCAATTATTGTTACCTTAGCTAAATTCTTATGTTCCGATAATCTGATTACCCGATCTACTAGTTTGACCTATGCAGTTAACCTCACAGTCATTGCAGGGTATTTGTAAATTATACTATTTTGTTTAATTGGCTCCACCGGGTCTTTTAGTCTACAGAGCTTGTCCCTGAGTGAGTTTTTTAGGTTTAAAAGCCACTCTAATTCCTGCTTTATTAAGAATCCTAAGTGCGGAAGGTTTCAGATGTCCCCTCATTATATAACAGTAGATGACTTATATTCTTTCTTATTTTTATTTTTCATTCTTTTTTCTATTTTTTTGATTACAGCTTGATTCCACATCGTATTTTTGGTACAGGTATGAAATTTTCAGCATGCGATATCGGTAGTCCAAATTTTGCAGGCTGACCATAGATATCAGGTGTGCGTCGGCAGGGGATCGAACCTCGGACCATGTGCGCATGGTCGGTGAGACTCCTAACAAATGTGCCTCCGACGCACATAATTTAGCTGCATAGAGGTACTAAATTCCAGATAAACATTCCTTTATGATGTCTCTCGTCTTCTATCGTTACAAATTGATTAAAAATGTTGATTTCAATTTTTGGCCGCTTCCGATCACAATCTACATCACAGTCCTCCCATTCACCTGGACAAGTCAAAATTTAAAAGTTCATGTTTAATAATGAAAATCTTCTTTTAAAGTTTTTTGCTTGAAATTTTATTTTTCCCTTATTTTTATTTATTTTATAGGATGAACCGCCTAATAAATCTCTACGTTTATTAGATAATGGTCAGTCTCATAGTGTTTCAACAGTTCAACACTCTGAAGATCCAGATATTGATGCAGCAATCAGAAGTATTTTATCAACTAGTGATTGATAATCCTCGTCACCACCACCATCATCATTATATGATACTATTAATAATAATAAGAACAATCCTCAGAAAAAACTTTCTTTTCCTTGTACATTTTGTTAATATATTTTGATTTGAGTTCATTGAAATTTATCCCTCTAATATTTTATGACGTTTAATTCTAATATTGAACAATCTTTCAATTTTTTTGTACATTATTGTATTTTATCTTTTAAGCCTTCTCTAAGCCTATGAATTTCATTTCTCAGAAAGGTTAACTCTGTTTCGAAATAGGTTTCTGTGAAACTGTTTCTTGTCTTATCATCATGAATATATATATATATATGTATCCTTCCGACATATGGTTAACTTTCCCAGTATATGATTCCTATAATATATGCAAACATTATTATTATTATTATTTTAGAGTGCCTTTCTTTTCTGGTTCAATTGTCTATGTTGTTTTGTTTTGTGTCTGCCCTTTCTTCGCCTGTTTCTATAATCCTTTGTTGAGCATATATATATATATATATATATATATATATGCACTACAAGTAAACATATCGTCCACAGTTTGCTGACACAGTGATAAAACGAAAGAAGAAGCCGCAAACCACGTGGGTTAGGCATCTTTCTTCGCATGTTACACAATCACACTTATCAATTATTATTATTGTTGTTGTTATTGTTATTATTATTAAATAATATTATTATTTTAAAACTCTTGTATAAAATAACACAATCATTTAATCTCACAATCCATTCATTAGTAAAGCGAGTCAGTCAGTCAGCCAGCCAACAAGCTAACTGTAATATGCTTCAATTGTGTTATTGTACAGTATTGAATTTATTATTTTTTACATAAATACGCGTTCGTGTATGTTTGTGTGTGTTTGTGAGTCTGATGTGGATATCTCCTTTTTCTTGTTTTGTGTTCTTGTACATGTGTAGTTACTTGTGTGTTTGTTTGTGTGTGTGTGTGAGGGTGTATGTGGACGCGTACACACCACATTGTTTTCCCTTTTGTCTCCCTTCTCTCTTATCCTTCTTATCATCAACAAGAGTTTAAAATCTTGACTGTTGAAAACAAAACAACTGTTTTTCTTTCTTTTTTCTTATCCATTTTACTAGTTTGAAAATATATATACATACATTAATATTAATATATAAAATTAATCTATGAATAATTGGGCAAGTCTCTTCTCATCTGTTTGCTTGAAAAACTAAATATGATGACATAATAATGCATTGTATTTTATATAATAGTAGATGTAAAGATGCAGCGATGATGATTCTCGTAAATGACATTGGAGGTGTTACAATTCAACGATACTGAATTAGTATAGTGATTTGTTTGGTTTCAGGTTTGTGTCACGGATTGATGCCAGTTGGAGAACCATTCAAAATTAGCAGGAAGTACTGGGCAGCGGCTTTTTTCTAGTTTTGGGACCCCAACAGGGACATGGGCACGTTACTACTGAAGAATCCCGAAAAAGTACGAAACAGCGTCAATTTCTCCCTGATATTTTTCAGCGGTTCTCTAATTGATAGCAATCCGTGATTGGTTTACTGGGATCCTTATCGATAGATGTGAATTTGTATACATGCAGTTGGCAATGAGCCACATCTACTATATTAGGGCTAGTGATAATAATTAGCTTCCCAAGCGTTGGTATGTGGGGCATGGTTCAAACCTCCTGGTCTGTGAGTGTCGATTTCAGAATATATTATTAGTTTACATTACTACTAAACTAATTATTCAGTAGTAACATTTTATTGTGTTAGAAAACATTCCTTGGCTTGTAAAATCCACACTATTATTTTGAAATCCAGGGATGATAGTCACGCGTATATTGACACTTCTTTTTCTATCGACATTAGGTAGCCAGCTGTCTTTTTCAAAATCCTCATCACTTTGAGTGATAATATCACGTACCAATGGAGATGAACATTGCTTCATTTGCATGGCGAGCTAATTTCAATCTTTAGAATCAATCATAACTATGATTTACGTTGTCAATATTTTCATGCTATAAGCATTTCATGTGAAAGCACTGTCGTTTTCATCAACATTATCTAATAGGATACTTAAAAAAGGCAAGGAAAACTAATTGAGATGCCTTTAAGTTATTTCTTTGATTCCTTTCAGCCGTTTACAATTTAAACACAGTAGCAAAGTATGTAAATTATAAAATACGTCTGTCGTGTTGACAAGTTATTCATAGGAAATATAGGTAAGTAACATAAGTCGTGAATAATGCAAGTAGCCAACTCATTAAGTAATTAAATTACTGACTATTTATAGGGTGGCTAGACGAATGAATACTTGTCAACCGTGAGGGGGATCTACGCTAGAATCCCAGCCAACGCACTCCCAGATCTCGACTAGCTGATAGTAAACCTGGGAGAGTTGGGATTGAGGCTAGCAACTCCACCCGGTAGGAGCAACAACATCATCAGATCGTGTGTTACACACGGAATACAAAGACTGCAAAAAATAATAAGTCGCGAATGGTGTATGGATTGACTACTTATATGATAATCAAATGAATATTCCTGAAAAAAGGGGAACAGATTTGAAAATCTAGATAGAAACAAAGTTCAGGTCGATAATGAGATATTGATAGAGCAGGTTACTTATCTATGCAATTACAAAACTTGTTATACTAGTATACTGTGTAATTTAAACTTTGTTTCTTTGCAACTTTTGAGGTCTGTTTTCCCACATTTTATCAAGAATATTCGTCCAACTATCCTATAAATTGCCAATCCTTTTAATACTTATTAATTTAATTAATTGCATCACCCGTGACTTATGTTACTTACAGTTCCTGTCAAATAAACTGTCAGCATATTCAGACGTATATTTTTGTAATTTACATATTTTAGTTTTAGGATTTCATTACGAACTGACATTGGTTAGAGGACCATTGAAAAATCTGGGAGTACTGCAAACCAACACTTGAATATTAATCTGATGCTCACTAATGACTGACCCTATTGAGGCAGGTAGTTACCTGGATTCCAGTGGGGAACAGCAGCTCGGTTTAAGGATAAATACTTGCCACGGATGACATTCACTAGTGGTCCCGCCATATCGTGAATTGGCGGAATTGGAATTCACTCACCGCCATTGTATCGGCTTCCAGTGACTTAATGGTCTACGAGCTCGCTTTGTAACTAGAAGGTCCTGGGTACAGACCATGCCGGTTAGTGCGTACTGCCGAAGATTCCCGAGGAAGGAGAACGAAACGGCTGTCCAGGACTCCCTTCAGGTTTTCCAATGGTCCTCTAACCGATATCATTTGATGATGAAATCCTGAAACAAATCAAAACCCTGCAAACTAACACTTAAACATACTTTAGTACCCCTTAGTTGTAAGTAGTTGAATGGAATCTGACTCAGTTTCATCACAGAATTGTAATAGTTGGGGTTGCTACACTCTCCATGTAGGACACAAAAGTATAGCTATAGTGACCAGATATATGCAGAAGAAAGAAAAGTTATATAGGAAAATTTGACAGTTTGGTGGATGTGGGAGATCACAAAGAGTAAATGCATCTGCGCCAGGCATTGAGAATGATTTTGAGCCTTATCACTAATAATCTCCAGTCATTGGTCTTTAGCATTCCAACCCCAACCAGGCAGTCTACACTTCCTTACGTCACTGGCTTAAACCAACTGTCGATGACTGCATGAACTGTCCCCAGGTTTGATTTGAACGGAATCGGCGAAATACTAAACAGGAGATCATATTATCCCACTGACTGGACGGTTTAGGCGTCCACCCCCACTCATAACTTGAAATTCCTAGGTTTGATCTCCGATGGGGTCATTGAAAGGGTCGTCCAATTCTTCACGTGAAGATTTGTCTCAGGGGATTAATCAACCAATGAGTCCCGAGTTTGAATTCCGATCCACCGACATCATCCTGACAACTGGATAGTATTATTAGCTCTCACACAGTTAATCTTGTACGTGAGAAATCTGTTTTCGTTACCTAGGTTCAAACACATCCATTATGGTTTTGACCACGAAGTGACTTCAGTTAGATAACCAGTGAAAACTGGGGAGTACTGAACAGCTCGTTCATCTCCACTCCGGACTCTTCAGTAGTAGTACACACTCGTTACTCCACCTTTAGGGATCGAACTTAGTAACTTCGGGTTACAAGGTGAACTCGTCGACCGCTCTGCCACAGGAACCCAATTTAACAACCCTTGAATTCTAACATCTGCCTTTTTCTCGATGTAGTTTGACCAGCAACCGATGCCGTCGGTGATTATCTATCCTCATGTCCAACTTGGTGAACCTCACTTGTAACGACTTCCCACTAGAACTTCAAATAACTTTATCCTATAGTAAGTCACCAATAAGAATCAGATTAATTTCGAAGTTTCAGTTTTCAGGGATTTAATCCCGTTAGCTGAATGGTGGTAAATGAGCCCATCTGGTTATTATGTGTGCTCAGTACTGAAGAGTTCCAAATAAAGACGAAACAGTTGTCCAGTACTTTGTGGTTTTCAATAATTCTCCGTCAATTAACGTTCGAAATTGAAGTCGATCAAATCTCTGTAAATCAGCACTTAAAGATCTCAGAGCCTCACAGTAATATATCCTCTCTACTAATAATTTTCAGTTATCCTTATAAATACTTAAAGTAGTTTAAATATTTTTAAGAAAAAACAATATTTAATACCTTTTCTTCATATATTAACAATATCATCTTAGGTGTTGTAATTCTTACAAACCAAGAATATTATGAATACTTTGGATTCTTGGCTGGATAAACTGGAAACTGAAAATACTAACAGAATAAATAATCTACTGGCGAAAAAATCTCGCCTTGAGCATTATTTTCACAATATATTAAATCATTCTACAATGAATAAAATTGTTTGTATTACTTCTGGTGGTACTATTGTTCCTTTAGAAAAGAATATGGTAAGGTATATTGATAATTTTAGGTAAGTCTGTTTTGCTGAGGATACAACGAACAAAAAGAGCAACCTGCTTTTACAATGTATGTTTTTTTTTCAAAAGTACTCACTCGTTTTTTCCCCAGTTGAAATTATTTCCAGGCTGATATCTTATGAGGTGTTTACTTTGCTACAGTGTGTCTATGTATATTATTAAAACCTTAATTTTTAAAAAATCAATGGCGGGATGTTTGAAACTTGCGCTACCAAAATATTTCATCATTATATTGCATATCATTTCTCTTATTTGTTTGTTTGAATCGATTAAAATATGATATATATATAGAGGTGTTTTCTACTCCCCCTCTTGCGAGTATTTAAAGTGTCTACAACCTGCTGATTTGAAAGTTTCTTGAGAAAAAGCTAAATCCATGGGTGACAATGTATTCCATTACATGAGATTTTTAGTAGAAACTTCTATAGCCTGAGAACTAAAACTAATCTCCTCAGCTATTCAGTTATCAATCATTATTTCCTTTTGTCAAAAAAAAAATGTACTTTTGCACCTTTCTTAACCGGTTTTCAACTATATGTTGTTCATTTCTCTAAAGAGGTAAAGAAGAAGCCTTATAAGGGATTCACTTTTACTTCAGGTCAGAAGACAGCAATGTGTCAGGCGATTTACTGTCACAGTTACTATCTTACTTGAAGATCGTGGACAAGGAGAAACTATTCTGTTAATGTTCAAGTATTGTTTTGTAGGGATTTTGTTTGATTGGTTGGAGAATTTCATCATGAGCTGACATCAGTTGGAGAAGCATTGAAAAACCTGCATGGAGTACTGGACAGCTATTTCGTCCTAGTTTGGGACTCTTCGAACCCAGATGGGTGCTTAAGGATGAAGAGTCCCAAACTAGAACGTAATAGCTATCCAGTACTCCATGCAGGTTTTTCAATGGTTCTCTAACTGACGTCAGCTCATGATGAAATCCTCCAATCTATTCTGTAATAATTCGTGCTGAAAATTATGTGCATTATAATAAACATTGTTCAGAATAAAACGGTTATTATTGTTTTTTTAAATTAATAAGGATCACTGGGTTGACTGCTTTGGTTAAATGTAATGTGCAAAATTTAAGAGGTCGTAACAGCAGGAGTATCCTCCTAATTTAACACTCCTCAATAGTCTACTAACTGTCAACACAGTCAACCTTCTTGTATAATAATAAATAAATAATTTTTCCTTCACGTTCCCAGTGGAACATAGGGCTTCAAGCTGGAGGCTTGAAGTTTCTGTAGCAGTGGTGTTTATTTTTACAGGATGGGGTTGCTAGCCTCATGCCCAACCTTTCCTCTTTACCAGCTTTTTATTTCTGGTTTAGCGAAGTAAAGGGGTGCGTCGGCCGGGGTTCGAACCCGGGACCATGTGCACGGTCGGCGAGCGTCCTAACCGCTATGCCACCTTCTTGTATAGTTGAACTTTATCTCATTGTTATTGTTACTGGAAAGATTAAAGTATTATTAATATGAATTAGCGAGTATACCATTGAAAGATTATACGAAAGTAATTTCAATCAATGAGTTACTGAAAAGGGATATTTATTTTACCTACACTTATATTCTATTTACAAGTTGTTTAATCTATCAACTCACCATCAACTGCTAAGATAGTCAGTCTTCTACTAAACGAATTCCTCACTAGGCCAATCTAAAGTTTTTAAGTCCCTCTTTTTCTTATTTTACTTCTAACTATATCTGTCAGTTGGCATAAACCTGTTGAAAATGTATACATTAAATGCAAACAGAACAAACATTCAGTAAACATGCCTCTAAACAAAAGATTTTCAAATTCAAAGGTGACCAGTTAGTTTTTATTTTATTCGCAGTGAACATAAGATGAGTACAGTTTTTTTTTAGAGTCTCACTGAAATGTTCCCCTACTATGGATGTTTTAATGGTAGAATGCTTACCAATCATTTACATGGGTCAGGGAATTCGATTCCCAGCCAACGCACTCCTAAAATCTCATTTAGGCGGTTGAGTGTGAGTCTAGCAACCTCACCACGTTAAAAAAAAAAAAGAAGTACCACTCTACCAAAAAACTTTAAAGCCTAAGCTTCAATCCCTATGTTCCACTTCGAAAGCAAAAGTTTGAAAAGGACTACTGTTGTTATTTGTTGGATTCATTCACAGTCTCCACTGAGAGTCGAATCCATTAGCATTCATTTTAAAAACCAAAGCATTATTTATTGGGCCAAGAGAACCACCTTTTGTTCAACGGGCGACAATTATTATTTGTCTAAGTCAACTTTAATTTTCCCGTTGATTGATTGGACCGAGATTTTCGGCCTTTGTTGAATTGTCGTGGTCCAAGTGGTCTAGTTTAGCACTTAAAACGATGGGTAGTGGGTTCAAGTATCAGCTGGAATACCATCTACTCACTGGGATTGCAGGTACATTCAGATGACGAACCCCAAACAGGACGAAATGCGCATCCTAGAATGCCTTATCAATGTTCCACCATACAGATACCGTTATTATTACAGGTAGTAGCTCTATTTACAGAATTATTCTGATCTTCAATCATGCTACTGCTTTCAGGTCCATTTATTCATTAATAGATATTAATAAGCGAAGTTTGCAAAGCCAAAAGAACACCATTGAAAAACTTCTTCTACCCTAAACTGGTGCATTTGAATTATGCCTCGTATCGACTCTTCATGGGTGGCCAGATACTTCTTCAATCGAACACGAGGTCGTAGGTGTATATTTTTGATTTCGTTTCATTAGGTCAAATACATTACTTCTGCCAGATAAAACTACTCATTAGAGATATGAGTAGTTTTCAGTACTTATACCGTACCTGACCCCAAATCCTTTTCACTGCTTTTGTGCTGCGGGGTGTTCGTCCTCCAAAAAAGTGAAAAGACAAATCCAAACGCCTGGCGCTTACAACCAGACTGGTACACATTCAGATCCACCCAGGTCATCTGGAAAACTCGAATTCTAAACTAATGGGCTCCGGAATCCAAAAAATTGACGGAATGGAATATAAACCTATTTCGGTCACCGGTAACCATGGGAACGCCGCTCCACTGCCTTGTGGGGTTAGAATCCAAGTCAAATGCTCCAGGGGTGGTCTCTTAAGTCAACCATTGTGCTTCAGTTCTAGCGTTAAACAGTATCGAAACCCTCGCAAAAACTATGTATATGAAATTTCGTCTGACTCATTTTTTGATGATTATAATGTACTAAGTTTGTATTTTAATAATAATAACAATAATAGTCGTACCTGATGACCATATTGACTAGACTGAAAGGGCTTAGCTCTAATTTTACTATTTTATATTCGAGTAATATCTATTATCTCTATCAAAGGTATGAATTGTTCTTTTAGTAATGTGATTATAATGTGTAGTTAACCGGTGATCGGAACACACGCACGCACGCGCGTGCACGCACACACACATACATACATACACTAATGAGACAACATGCCTGTGTCATATGATATGAAAGGATATGATTTACGCCTAAAATTTGATTTCTCTTCTCTTTCTTCTAATTAACAGAAGTTTTGAATGGAAAAATTCATTTTTTATTTCTTAAAATATTACAAATGATTAGTTGGTGGTGGTGTTGTTGTTAACGAAGAATATAAAGTTCTAATAAAAGTCACACACACAAGCACACTTCACCGGATAGCTTAAAAGTCATACACATAGAAAACTTTTATATGGTAGAGAAAGCACTGACGTCAAATAAACCACAGATATAATAATACTAAGTGAATAGAATGGAAAAAATACCTACACGTTTTATTATCTCATACTTAAAGTGGTACTTACCTTGTTTTTTTTCAGTAACCTGCTCACTGAGTGTTCCAAGATCATTGGTACACAGTCATATTCCTTCAGTGCTTAAAATTTAATTTAGCCAGCCAGCAACATGCTAATTTTCCACACTAATAATGTCAAAACAACAACAACAGCAACATCCAGAGCCAATCACTATCAACGGAGGGATTTGAAGCAGGTTACTTCATTCACTTATCTGGCTAGGGAGCATTGTCTCAACTACAGGAAGTCGGAATGGACGAGGATGTCAAATCGAGAGAGAATCGGGGGGTGGGTGAGAAACACATTCATCAACCTGAAACCAATCTGGAAATCTTCGTCACTCAGCCAGCATCAACAACAAAATTCGGTCGGATTTTCAATACAAACAACGTCAAGTCAGTCAGTTCTTCTATACGGATCAGAAACTTGGCGGGCGGGTCACAATGAATATTTCCAACAGCCTGTTGCAGACCTTTATCAACCAACAACTTTCTTCGCTGGCTCTATACTGAAGATGAGATGGACGGGTCGGAAAGAATCACAAACAAGAAACTATGGCTTGGAACAAACAAAACAAGAACCAATCGCCAACCAACAAATATGCAGGAGAAAGTGGATTGAGATGGATTGGACACTCGCTGAGGAAGCCGCTGGGTGACATCGCTCGAGTGGAACCAAGCCGAAAAGGAAGCGGCGAGTGGGACGTTCAAGGGTGATATGGAGGAGATCGTGTGAAGAGGAGTTGAAAGAGCATGGATTAACATGGATGCAGGTGAAAAGTACAGCAGAAGGAAGACAGAAGCAAGTGGAGACGTGCAGTTGAAGCCCTATGTTCCACTAGGAACCCAAGGGAACAATAATAATAATCTCAAGTCAATTCACAGATTTTGTGTTCACATCACCAAAAGTATTTCCAACAGGTTGCTGCATACTCTCACCAGCACCTCTCTTCCCTAAATACTAAAGACCAGATAGGTGGTCAAAAAGGATAAAGAACATTGGACTCTTACAGGCAGCGAACCGACTGCCTGAAAAATATTGGCAAAGAAATGGGGATGGATTGAAAATACACTGAGCACCATCACGTGCCAGGTCCTCAAGTGGGATAGGAACAAGAAACGAAGAGGTGGACATCACCTCGAGTATGACATGGAGGCAGTCATATGAGGAGGAAATGAAAGTTGTGGATCCATTTAAGAAGGACTTCAGAGAACAAGGTGAAATGAAGATGTGCTAATGAAGCCCAATCTACCACTTGGTATTCAAAGAATGAATAATCATATCAACTGGGCGATATGATAGAGAGAGAGACAAAAAGAGTTGAAATAACATCGTTCATTTCTTAAAATCTAAGGTTGATCAGCATAAATCTAAACTATGAAAAGATTTAAGATCTGTTGGAGGATTTCATAATGAGCTGACATCCCTTAGAGAACCACTGCAAGACTTACAGGGAGCACTAAACAGCCGTTTCGTCCTAGTTTGGGACTCTTCATCAGTAGACGCCCACCGGGGTTCAAACGAAACGGCTGTCCAGTACTCCCTGCATGTTTTCCAATGGTTCTCTTCTAACTGATGTCAGCTCATCAAGAAATCCTCCAATCAATCAAAACAAACAAAATTCTTAAAAAAAACGAAAAATTTACAAAATTTAAGATTTATAAAATAAAAAATGATTGAGGAAAGAATATCCTTTTCGATAAATTCCTCTTCTGGCTCTACAATTATATATGTTTGTATACATAGAATATTCTAGATTAGTAATCAATAACAATATTAGTGTTTTTAAACAAATAAGTAATAAGGATATAATAGCGAATAGAATGTCAACTAAAATTAGGAAAATTCCACAAAAATTCTGGATAATTCAAACCTAGATGGCCAGTGGGGTAAGGATAATGTCTGAACTAACTTCTTTTGGATGCATAAATTAGGCTTGTTAATATGGATACCCACAGCTCAGCAATATTTAGTAGTCGAACTATTAAGGCAAAATTGAGATTCGTAGGTAGGTATGCGGTAAATCACCCTGAAATCATGGTTAACGTCAATCTTGTGTTCTGTATCCACAAGATGAGATAGAATAGCGCTGCGAATAGATTTTGTTTGTCCTTTGCTTAACCACGCAGGGCGATGTTCGGAAATTTTATGTATACAAACATATAAATATAATTCAATAAAGAAAAAATCCCCATTTAGACATTTAGAAAACAGAAAGATTGAGCGAAGAAATATTTACTTTTCAATTAGATCCTCATCCTTGGCTCTACTCTAATATATACAGCATTTTAATTACAATACAACAGTTTGCCAATCGCCACAGTGGTGGTTAGGACTCTCGCAAACCATGCACATGGTCCGGGGTTCGAGCCCGCACCGACGCACATCTGATATCTATGGTCGGCCAAAGATGAGGATCTAATTGAAAAGTAAATATTTCTTCGCTCAATATTTCTGTTTTCTAAATATATATAATTGTAGAGCCATAAGAGGAATTTATCGCAAAGGATATTCTTTGCTCAATTATTTTGTGTTTTATAGATGTTTGAATGAATATTTTTGCTAAATTTGAGATTTGTTTTGTTAAGTTTAATCAACTTTCTAATGTTTTCTCTTTACTACCTTTACAGCACAGGTTTAAGAGGTGCACTTTCTGCTGAATACTTTTTACGTTCAAATTATGCTGTCGTATATTTTTATCGTAAAGGCTCTTTATTACCATTTATGCATCGTTTTAATCGAAAGTATCATCATCAGCAAAGAGGAGGACAACAACAACAACAAAAAGAACAGGAACCACCACTATATGAGTGGATCGATCCGCATGACTTTGAAGTATTCCATTGGTTTACAGTAAATACACAAGAGAATAAATTACAAGTTACAGAGAATGCGTCGAAATTTCTTCTTCCTATATTCAATGAATACAATGTGTACAGTGAGTTCTAGTTATTTTTCGATGCTTTTGTGTTCCAAGTGGAACACAGGGGTTCCATACTTTGAATTCGTGGTGGTGATGTTTTCACGAGTTACCAGCCTCAAGCCTGACCTTCCCTGTATTCCAAGCCTGCTACGAGCTAGGAAATAGGTTAGATTCAGGTGTACGCAGGCGGAGAATGGAAGTCTAACCTCCTACATGACTGATGAGTGTTCAACCATCGACGCATTATGCGTAATGATCTCGTGTTTGATGAAATGATATCAGGTAGAAGGATTTTTCTAAGTTACGTACTTTAGAACAGAGTCTTTTGGCAACATTTAAAGCAATATCTTCAGTGTTAGTTGAGGATTTCGTTGAAAGCTTGGTGTATGTGTGTGTGTGTGAAATAGTTTCATTTCAGAGCAGAAGAATCTATTTCTAACTATAGCTAGTCCACATTATTTGTAAAAAGTCTTTTATAGAGCACCAAATAGCTGAAATATAAACCTGCTAACTTCACAGCTATAAACAGTGTCTCTTGATCTCTCTATCCTATCTATTCTTCTTTATTGTTCACCCTTGCTTATTGTTTCCTGGTTTGCTTAAAAAAGACTATGTCACAATTCGTAAAATGTTGAAGACTGTCAGTAGGGTGAGTGGTGTCCCAGTGGACCACATAGTTAAAATCGTTGTCGATATGCACTTGACTTCGTGCAATAAATTTCCTAAAGGGATTTTGTCTGACTTGGAGCATCCACTTTACCTTGCATCTCCTCAGGTAGAACAAGAAGTAACTTCAGAAAACTGGATGCTCGCACGTCTAAGTATAGAAATTCTATGATACCATACTTGTCACGTATTTTATCTGATGAAAATAATGTCAAGCAACAATTAACTAACCTTTTTTCATCTAGTAAATAAACGATTTCCTCCATCCATCCATCCTTATATACATACCTTCAAGTTTTACTTCTATTATATTTATGGTCCTGTTGCTTCTTTGTTTGTTTTACTTTCATAATTGGAAATACCAACTTATCTCTATGACTGCTGTAATCTTTGTTTTTCCCTCACCATATCATGCAAAAGAGAACATTATATTCAATACTTGTAAGCATGCTAGAATGTCAATCATCACCTTAGCTGTTATCATTATTATTATTTCCATAAAATATGCCGCATGTTTTTGACATTACCTCTGTTGTAAATGTGGAAAATTTTCTGTGTGATTAATTTTATTTATAATTTGAGGAAATTAGATGCAATATTGTGATTAATGCTGAAAATTCCATTCTGTATCCTAAGTACTGTTTTTGGAATAAAGTAAATCATTATTATTATTATTATTATCTATAATAATAATAATAATAATAATAATAATAATAAGCTATCTGGTGATCCGCCATTTGAGTTAAGAGATGAGCTTTTTAACCAACTTTTGGTCCCATTTTCGAGGAAGACATTGATTTTTGTCTGACTGTGAAGCTTCTGATTACTTGAATGAAGCACATATTAACTAGACTTGAGGTAAATATACTGCTATCGAATGATGTTGAGCTACAAGGATCTTATCATTAGTGAAATTTTTCAATAGGTACATCCATCAACCACTATCCACGTGAGAAATTTAGGTAGGTAGCATCGTTGCAACTTTAAACGGGTATGATTGAAGATATCAAATCCATGATCGGAAAGACAAGATAGACCCTCATTAATAATCGGAAATCAGTATGGGAATCTAATGAATGAAACATAAGGAACAAAGATTTGGATTTTCAGCACTAATGTCGTGTCAGTGAGTAGTTCTATATGTCTTATAGATGTGGTGCACGCGTCATGCAAAGCATTTTGAACAGACTTTGATCAACAGCTGCCTTTTTTGTGATTGTACACTAGTCAGTAACTAGTGTGATGTGCGTGTCTAGTCCTATCTTCGGTACAGACTGAATCACAGACACCATGCTAGGTGGTGGCTCGCCATCACGGTGCACTGTGAATTGTTGGTATTAGATGGTTTGAGGCAATAGGCAGGAAGGCTTGGACCTAGGTTTACACCGAAGATACGACTAGCTAGACACATTACACTAGTTACCGACTACTGTCCAATCAAAAATATCCAATACAGGAGGTCAATCACGAGGCTGAATAGCTCATTGGTGACGTCTCTGACTTCAGGAGGCACTGGGTGACGGGGGTTCGAATCTCAGAAGGAGCAGGAGTTGCTTCAAGGTTGTACATACGCCTTGCCGACTGGTGAGTGCCAACTAACAGGAAACCTAGGTCCAAGGCTTCCTATGGCCGATTGCCTCCAACCATCTAATACCAACAGCTGCCTTCTCCAAAAATAACAAGCAACAAGGGAATTTGGAAGACAAAGCCCTACTACCCAAAAAAAATGTCGGAGAAAATGGAGATGAATGGAACATGCGATGAGTAGGCCATTCAGTGACACTACGCTCTAGGCTCTCGGGTGGAATTCGAACGAAAAGTCATGAGTTTGGCATTTGAGGTTGATACTCATGAGGATTGTGTGAAGAGGAAATGAAATCCTATGGACGATCCTGTAGTTAGAATTCATGGGCAATTGGATTGGGTCCCAGCGGCCTAGTAGTCTATGAGCCAGCTCGCCTTGTAACCAGAATATCCTGGGTTCGAACCTTGTCGGTGGGTGCGTACTGATGAAGAGTCCCCAACTAGGAGGAAACAGCTGTCCAGTACTCCAAAGTTTTCTAATGGTTCTCTAACCAATGTCAGCTCATGATGAAATCCTGGTCCTGTAGAGAATTTGGATGAAATTGAGATGTATTCGTGAAGTCCTAAGTACTACTTGGAACCCACCTATCACATCAGAATATCAGTTGGTAAGTCTCATTCATTAGCAATTAAAAAATTGGGGATAGCTACAATTTTCATTATACATATTTGTATTGTTATTAATATACTCACACATTTCTACTTTCTCTTCCTCCTCCTATTCTCGTTTGCATTGCCATACTCGCTTCTGATGCACACACACATACACACCCAAACACAGGTCAATATCTATTCCTACTAGAATTTGAAACTGTTGAAGATTATTTAATTGAACTACGATATCTAGCAAAGAGTTAAACAGGCTAATAGAATATTTCTGTCACAAAAAGAAAGTCCATTTATGCTTTATTTATCTGCTGCTGTCTCTGATTATTATCTTTCAAATAATGAACGTCCAGAGCATAAAATACAAACAAAATCAAAAATTATTCATCAAAATAATGATGGCGATAATAATAATAATAATAATGACAAATCAATACAAGCAGTAGAAAATTTGAATTTAACACTAAAACCAGTACCAAAACTTATGAAGCTAATCAATACATTATGGGCACCTAATTCTTATGTGATAAGTTTTAAAGTAAGTACAGTAATAATAATAATAATGCTTTTGATTTTCCCTTATTTATTTATCGATTTTTACACTCGTTGAGCTCCGAGTGGAATATAGGGATTCAGACTTGACGGCTTGAAATTTCCTTAGCTTTAGTGTTGTTATTACACGATTAAGGTGCTAGCCTCACATCCAACCCTCCCTTTTTTCTGGCCTTTACAGTTAGCTAGTAATTATTATTATTATTTCCTTTAATTCCTGGAGGAACATGGGGCTTCAGCTGCACGTCTTCATCGCGTTTAGTTCTTGGCTAAAGTTTTTACCTGGCTCCAAGTTTGACCACATGATTTCATCTCCTCTTCACATGACCTCCTCCAAGTGACCTTTGGACGACCAACTCGCCGCTTCTCTTTCGGGTTCCACTCGAAGGCTTGTCTAGTGATGTCACTTGATGGTTTCCTGAGAGTATGGCCAATCCATCTCGATTTCTTCCTGCTCGTTTGCGACATGGGCAGCTTTGCCAATCTCGTACATGGTGCAGACGTTCCATGTCCCCACACAGACCTTTTCTTTTGGCGCAAGGAAATTCGTCGTGCTTAAGTTTCTGTAGCAAGTTTGTTTACAGAGGGTGGGGTTGCTAGCCTCACGCCTGAGAAGGGGGTTGTTACATTAAAATATAGTTTACAGAGAAGCGACCTTGTGGGTTGCTCCTCTTAAAGTCAGGAAAACAAGCAATAAAACAATCAGAACAACACCAGCAAAAGGAAAATAATTCACAACAGGAAGAGCAACAAGCGACAACAACAATAAAAGAAAGCCTTAGCAGTAGTATCACAGTCAGATACAGTTAACAAAAATGATACCAAAATCGTAGACTCACTGACTTGAGCCAACTTGGACATGTAAATCCATCAATATATGCAATTATAGATATTAGTTAGTGCTAGACAGTCGCAAAATGGCAAGCAGATAGTTATAGGTATTACCAGTCAACAAGATTATATCCAGATTCAGTGTTCGAAAGGCAAATAAATGCATTAAGTTCCACAACTTCTTGGCAAGAAATTCCACAGAAACAAAAGTTTTATGTCGTTAGCTAGTAAACTAGATGTGATTTAGGAGTGAATTTTCAGGGAGTCGACCACTTCGACTCCACGTGTGCGTGATTGGCGAGCATTATACTACCACTGGCCTAAATCATTCGATTTGTGTTGACATATATCTCGACTTGAAATCCCTTAGAGAAACATTGAAAACCAACAGGAAGCACTGGACAGCTGTTTCGCCGTGGATTGTAACTCTTCATCGGTACATTTCCATCTGTGTTAGAACCCAGGACATTCCGGTTGCGAGGTGAGGTCGTAGACCATTCAACCAGTGGGACCCGATCCAATGGCCTATGAATTCCTAATTCTGCCTGTTTGCTGTTCGAACCCCCAAGGGTGCGTACTCCTGAAGAGTTTCAAGCTAGAGCGAAACAGATGTCCAGTACTCCTGTGCCCTCCAATGGTTCTCTAAATGATGTCAACGCGTGATCAAACCTATAACCAATCAAATCCTTGCGAACCAATACTTGATAGTATATCTCTTACGTTGGATAACATAATATTATTATTATTAGTAGTAGTAGTAGTTTCGTTCTGACGCTATTCCAAGGTAAACTTCGTTGTGGACTGATATCTGTTACAGTATAACTGGGAAATAGAAAGCACTGAAATAGCCGATTCGCCCTAGCTCATGAGTTTCCAATAGTATACACCCACGAATTCATCTTAGAGATTGATCCCAGGACTTTCTGGTTACAGGATTAGGGAGAATAGTGCTATTCAACCACTGGGTCGTAAATCATTATTGCCATTATTCCCTTAGGTTTCCAATGAAACATATAGCTTCAACAGCTTCAACGTGGCCTAGTTTACTAACGCATCCTTAACCGCGAAAATGAAGGAATACTGGCCGTGGAGTTAGTGACCCTATCCTCGGAAAATCAATCCGATTGCTACAGAAAATTCAACGCACAGAAAACATAAAAAAGGTAAACATATTCTTCGCTGTAATTAGAGAGTCTGAATAACATGGGCTGAGTGAAAGCCTATCGGAAGCAGATGTCTCTTCTTTCAATGAAAAGAAATATCACCTTGGGTGCGTGGAATGTCCGCACAGTGTTCAAGGCTGGCTTGTGAATCAATAATGCATGAGTACTAACTAATTATGTTGGTTTAGAATATAATGTTAGGGCTATCCAGTTCCATCTGTTACCTACTGATCAATTTTCTAAACGGCACCATATGGCGAAGTGATCAAAAGTTAGAAGAAATGTAAAACTGAATATATTTGCAGGACAAAAGAAAGTTCTTTTTTTTTACTTCAAACTTCTTCAACTGCTGACAGCCTATAAGTGGGGCTTAAGTTATTATAAATGTTTTCTTAAAATTTCAACCCAGAAGTATGAATACACATACTTCAGTTTGACAATAGGTAGTACTCAATATCATGAGTCTAGTCGTTTGGTTGTGGTGCATACTGAATCCATGCCACCATGCCCAGTAGGTAGCTCGCCATCATAATGCAATCTGTTTATTTAGAGACGATTGGCAATAAGCCATGGACTTAGGTTTTGTGCTTATCGGCACTCATCAGTCAACACGGTGTATATGCAATTGTGAAGGAACTAATGTCCCTTGTGAGATTCCAACCCGTGCCACCAGTACTGCAATTAGAGCCGTTACCACTAAGCTATTTGGGCTCGCCGATTGACTTCTTGTAGGGCTCTATTAATACAAGATAATCAATTGCCTTATGACCAGAGTTTTTTAACACATAAGATGACGGAAAGTTCGACAGTTAAGAGAAGGAATGAGGAGATATGGTAAGTTAAGGTAAAACTAATATGACGACGTATTTAGAGAAAACAACAGTTTGAGCAGTGAAGAAATATACATTCCTTTTCAATTAGTTTCTCATCATCCGCTGGATAGCTCTACACCAATATATAGTTGTTTTTTTTACATCAAAACTTTTTTTTAAATATATTAAATATTCCCATAGTAAAATTTAGAACAACACATTAAATATCCATTGGAACATTAGATTGAAAAGAACAAGAAGTTCAGCAAAGATGGCGATCTTTTCGGTGATTTCATTCTCAAAAGCAGCTGTACAATCGCATTTATATAGATTAGTTTACATGGATACAATGATTATTAATATTTGTTTAATTCCACATAGTAACGAAGGTGATAATAATTTTCAACTTGATATGAAAGTTTGAGGGTATGAATATACATTACAAAGGGCTTAGAGACAAGGCTTCAATGTGCATATATCAGATCACTTGCGCTTGCGGAGCTAGGTACATACGTCGTTCTATGCTGGTCTTATCAAAACGTGTCAGAGAACATCATTCAGCATGGCTGCAAAGAGCAGGCACTGGTTCAATCAGAAGCGCAATAACTTAACATCTCGTCAATACCTGTCACAGAATCTCAACTGACTCATCATTTACAGTCATTTAAAAGTGAACAAAAATCTACCAAAGGCAGTGTGTTTCCGACTTCTTTGTACTGCGGAAGTTCTCGCCATATGCATCGAAAAGCCGGAGCTATGTGTTCAAAAGAAACTAGTCCAGCCTCTACAACTACCATGGACCTAGTTCGGTATGTTCCCTTGTCCTTCGTTTTTGTTGTTTTGTTATCTGTGTGTATAATTTTCCCTCTTTGCCTTCATTCAGTTCATCCTTTTTTTTCAGTTATAAAATTAGTTATTTTAAGTTTGTTTCCATGCTCCTCCTGATCACATTTGTAATCCGTTTAGAATAACCATTTTACAATTATATTCTAATCCTGTGTAATTTTTGTTTCTATGCCTCTTGTAATCTGTCTATATCCACACCTCCTAACTTACATTTCAACTTGAAAAATTTTGATTTCAAATTGTTTCCATGCTCATTTTCTAAACACCTGTAATTCGTTCTATCCCTGTGTCTCTAAGCCCCTTGTAATGTATATTCATACCCTCAAACTTTCATATCAAGTTGAAAATTATTATCACCTTCGTTACTGTGTGAAATTAAACAAATATTAATAATTGTATCCATGTAAACTAATCTATATAAATGCGATTGTCCAGCTGCTTTTGAGAATGAAATCGCCAAAAAGATCGCCATCTTTGCTGAACTTCTTGTTCTTTTCAATCTAACATTAAATACCGAAACGTCAGTAAAAACAATATCGTTGTATTTTTCATTCATTGGGAAATACAAAAAAACCCTTATTATAATTTCTATTAGAGTTAATTCTGATGAGATCTAATTGAAAACAATATTGTTCGCTTAAATATGTTGTTCAAAATTTTTTTTTACCAATCAAGTGGTTATTTTAGTTAATCAATTTTAGGCATAGGTGGAGGGTGAAATTAAGAGGTTAAAGGTCATCAAAACAATTCACTAACAGATGTTAGTAACAAGATATTCAAGTTTTGAAGGAGAGGTGAAAATTCATTACTTACAGGATTCAACATAAGTTGATTCTTAGGCGTTATTTATCGTAAATCAGCCAACCGATCGCAGCGGGATCTACGAATATGACTTCTACATACATCAGAGGCAATCGGAATCCATATGAACAAACCAAATCTGTGTGTTCAAAATGTGTGTGTACAGCCACTTTCTTTACCATGGCCAACTACACAATATCTACTAAGTTTTTAAAACGATTTTTTCTCCTCTCCTTGTAACTCTGACTTTGTTAATTTTTACAATTCTAACTAATTCTATTAACTTGTTTATATCTTACGTAATTCTTCTGAGTCATGCTATTCTTCTTAGTCATCACTGCTATTTTACAGATTTCTTGATTGTGTAATAACTCGTTGCTAACGCCTAAGAATCAACTTATCTTGAATTTCGTAATTATTTTTCACCCCTCCTTTAAGACTTGGATAACTTATTACACTAGCATCTATTAGTTGGTTCTTTTGATGACTTTTAACCTCTTAGCTTCACCCACCCCGCCTATATCTAAAAATGACTGACTAAAATAACCACTTGACTGGTAAAACATTTTGATGTAAAAAAGCAACTATATATTAGTGTAGATCCAGTCAGCTAGCCGATGATGAGAAACTAATTGAAAAGTAATGCCATATTCCTTCGCTGTTCAATCTGTTGTTATTTCTAATATGACGTAAACGAACAATTCAGTTAACCAACAGCTTGATAATAATTCTACCTCAATGAGTGAAATTAACAACTACGCAAAGATTGTTATTCAAGACAGTGTGAGGTTAATCATGCTCTCGGTTGAAAGTAATGCTGTCTTCAAAAAGAAGTCACCAAAGTTTTTCTCCGTAATATTCATCATTTTGAAGAGTTGATTGATTACAACTGTATGTTCTGTATCATTTAGTTGTCTACCTTTTGTACTTTCAAATACTCTCCTACATTTTATACCAACAGTGTTATTTACGAATGTGCTCAAAAAAATCTCTTCTTAGTCTTTCCTACGTACTTGTTACCTGCAATTGCATGTGAATTGGAGTTAACAATGACTAGGATACTTATCTCATTTAAACTGAATTAATGGGCATTCCTTATTTTGAAGTGGATTCAATTCTTGTCGATAATTCTTTCTTTTTGTACTCCCAGTAGATATAAACTGATCGCTTTTCAACACCTATGGTCTTAAGTCTGAATGTTCATTCTTTTGCATAATTCATTATGAACTTCCTTGGATAGCCATTCTTCCTTCATATAAAATTCTTTTCAATAATCACGAACTGATCATCAGTCTTTCTCCTCTAAGCATGTCGGTGTCATCATCGTACTGAAAAGCAATTAGGCAAATACTGTGATAATATTCAAGTATTGGCTTTGTAGGGATTTTCTCTGATTGGTTGAAGGGTTTCAGCATGAGCTGACATCAGTTAGAGAACCATTGGAAAACCACCTGAGAGTACTGGACAGTTGTTTTGTCAGTCTAGTTTGGGACTTTTCAGCAGTGCGCACACATACCATGGGGTTCGAACCCAGGACCTTCTGGTTACAAGGCGGGCCGGCTTGTAAACCATTAAGCCACTGGGACCCGGTCCAATGGCCTATGAATTCTAACTTCTGCCAATTCACGAGATAAAGCGACCACTAGCCAATGTCTTCGGCGAGTATTTGTCCTCACACCCGACCTGCTGCACCCTATTGGTCACGACTTCTCGCTAGAACCCCAGGTAACTACTTACCTGAATGGGGCCATAGTAATTTAAGTATTGACCTATCTTGTATGCCTACTTATTATTATTATTATTAAATGACCATTGAATTATACATCTACATTTATGAAAATTTACCAATTGAAAGAAAACTGTGAAATAAAAGTTGTTCTGTGGTGAGAGCTGGCTGCTAGCCAAATTAGTAGACAGTAATTTACGTCGATGTTTACGTCCCCAATATTGGTCGTGAGCAAAATAAGAACAAATACTGACTCAGCAACCAACCACAGCAGACTTTGCGTAGGCGGATACAGTTAGCATATAGATGATCTGACATTCAAGAAACAGTCACAAAGAGATGTAAGGTTAACTTTCTGTGAGAAACAACCAATCAGTAGACTGTGTTTTTTCTGCTAACAATAATCTATAATATGTACATGAAAATCTATAAATATATGTTGATTTCCTTAATAAAAGATCTGTTAACTGGCCCTTGTCTTCTGTTGTTACAGTTCCTTGTATCCTATAAATATGTTCATTCTGGTGGTGGTTGCTGTCATGGCACAAGTGGTCCAGTGGATAACACTTTGGCATTTGAAACTATGGGCACTACTGGATTGGGGTCTCAGTGGTAACGGTATCACTCACTGGAGAATGCAGGTATATCCCAAGTAGGTTGAAACGCACATCTCGGATACCACTGCTAGTCACCATCCACCAAATTAATTCAGGTTAAAGCCCAAGACGTCGTCGATGCATATGCACAAGGAATTGACTTGTCAACACAGCCCAAGCACTGGGTTTATTCAAACTAATCATAGCAACTGAGTATATGACAGAATACAGTTGGAATCCAGTAGCCGATGAATTATAAGTTATAGCACAACAATGTCCCCTCACCTTTTAACTTAAGCTTCTGAAATCAATCTCTGATAAACCAAGACGAAACACCTCCGTTCATTGATCCTCGATCTGATATCGGTCGATGAGAAGATCCACACACTGAAATTAAATCAAGCATCTGGTATTATGCGGTATCAATGAAATCTTGACCACTCGTTTCATTACGCTAAAGACTTGTCAACTTTCATTGCTTTTATCCAATTATGTTCCGATCGGAACATACAGTTTAAAAATTGAACTTTAAAGCTCCAATAACAGTGGAGTTTTTATACTAAGGCATGCAGTTGCTATTGCCACAACCAACGTTCCGTCTTCACCGGCCACCCTCTTCATTCACAACTTTCCCCTTGTATCGCATCAGGAAAAACCAGAAGCCTATATAGAAAACTATATGCCCTCATCAGCAAGTACAAAAACTCAACCATACCCTACTTAGCTCGTGTTCTGTGCGATAAAGAAAGTATTAGGCGTGAAACTTATAACATACTAAATAGTCAGTAAAACAACAACTGGATCTCGTCTTTCCAACTCATATCATATATAGGTAAAACGTTTTGTTTCTTTCTTTTCCTTTTCTCTCTCTTTTTTTCTGTTATGTGCAGCTTTGTTTTTTTCTTCCTTACGAACTCTATTTAAAACATTCTTGGTTCTCTCACACTCTGTATATCTCAACCTTTTTGTTATCGCTTACGCCAGTAAATATGCTGACATCTACTTTTCTAACACCTTCAAACCTTCTTTTTCACTTTTGACTTTGCTACCGATATGCCAATATGTTGTTGTCAAAATTAACTGAGACTACCCATAATATATGTAATAATAATAATAATAATAATAACGGCTTTATTCCAAACAGTATTTGTGGTACAGGTATGGAATTTTCAGCGTGCATTACAATATATTGCATCTAATTACCTCATGAATTTTGTAAGATTTTAAAATCAAAAAGTGACAACCAAAAAAATAGATAAATAAAGAGCCATAAAAAAGAAAAGAGTCGCATTTACATTTTAAACAATGGACCACAGGATATGAAATATAAAATGTGAACAATAATATAATAGTAACGAAGAAAGGAAAACAAAAAACAATTGGGACTATTTGTTAGAGTGCCTCAGCAAGTCGATAGTGTCATACCTAACGGATTTCTCATTACATAACAGCTGTGACAGATTTGGTATTGTGGAGTTTTTGTACTTGGTAGTCCTAGCATATAGCCTCCTATAGCTGCTTCTAGTTCTACCAGATGAAATGTAAGGAGAGAGATGCGTATTCAGAGGATGCTCGGGGTCTGACAATATTGTATTCGCTAGTTACTTACATGATATTATATGTCTATCCACAATAGTGTTAACCAGTTGGTTTTGGAGGGTGCCTATGATTCCCCTGATAACTACCACTGAATGCCTAACATTAAAAACATCATATTTTCTCATACTATTGTAGGACAATAATAATAATAGCATATATTAATATATTCCGCATTACTTTCTACTTTAGCTAGAAACAGATAACGAACAATTATTGATAAAAGCCCAGAAGTCATTACAAGTCAATCATTCCAATATTGTTGTTGCCAATCTTCTGCATACACGAACAAAAGAAGTCTGGTTAGTGCATAAACAGAATGATAAGGAAAGTATAACTATTGATCATATAAACATACAACAGTTGGTTGATAAACAATCCAGATATTCAACATCCTCCTCCTCACCATCATCATCACCAGGAGATATTGAGTCTGTTTTAATTCCTCGTCTTATAGAACTACACGAACAGTATATACTTCAAAGACAATAATTTGAATCGACATTTCCTTTTTCTAGTATTTTTTTTTAGTACTTTTTAATTTGAGAACTTTGTTAATCCTAGTGCTTCTCTCGATCGAATGTTAAATCTTGAAGAAGAAGTTTATTTCAGCTACTGAACTTACAAGGAACCTGATTTGTCCCAATATTTTGATGTGTGATTTTCCTTTCCATTTCTCCTTTCCCTCTATATTACACTTTTACTCTTTAGGATGACACTGACCTTGAGTTGACCTACTTTTCTCAGCTAGCTTTAAGTGAACTCTACTTAGTCGTGTCAATTGTATGATATTGTTCAATTTACTTAATAATAATAATAATAATAATTTGCTTTATTTCAAATCAGTACTTATGACAGAGAGTGGAATTTACTCAACAACAATAATAACAATAAGAAAACAAAAAAATTTATATTACAGTTTATAGATAACCAGCTGTGTCGGTAGCTTAGCGTTAGAATGTTCGCCAACCACGCCTCATGTGGTTGGGAGTTCGAACCCCGGCCACCGACGCACTCCTTCACCTCGCTAAGCCGATAAAAAGACTGGTAAATAGGAAAAGTTCGGCATGAGGCTAGCAACTTCACGGTCGTAAAAAATTAACACCACTGGCAACGAAACCTCAAAGCTGAGAGCTTCAAGCTCTATGTCCCACCACTGAGAACGTAAAGGAATAAAATAATAAGGTAATGGTATCTTTTTGGTATTAGCAGTGACCATACAGTCAAAAATGTACAAAAAAGGGTTAAATGATGATAATAATATAATTAACTAAAATTATAAGATAATTGAAACAGTATTTAATTGGCGGATGGTGAGTGACTAGCAGTGGAATCCAGGATGCATATTTCGTCCTATTTGGGACTCGTCATCCGGATATACCTGCATTTCCCAGTGAGTGATGATGTTCCCACCGAAGATCGAACCCAGTGCCCATAGTTTCAAACGCTAAAGCGTTATCCACCAGACCACTTGGGCCACGAGAGCCACCTCTTGTGCAACGGGTAATATTAATTTTAATTGAATTTTAGATTTCCCCGTCGGTTGACTGGGCCGAAGTGCTCGGTCTCAGGTTGACATGTTCAAGCGGCCTAGTGGATAACGCTTTGGAGTATAACAAACACTATGGGAACTGGGATCGAGCCTCGGTGGGAACATCATCACTCAGTGGGATATGCAGGTACATTCAATAGCTGACGAGTCCCAAACAGGACGAAATGCGCTTTATCCTGGATTCCACTGCTATTCACTATCCACCAATTAAATTCTAATTGCATTCCCAGACATCGTCGAAGCATCTACACAAGAAGCCGATATGTCAACCTTGGACCGAGCACTTCGATCCAATCAATCGATGGGAAAGTCTAAAATTCAATTGATTGAAATAGTGTCACCATAGATTACAAATAGGAGAATATCAAAGAGTTATTTATTCTGTTAATTAAGTAGTAAGTTATATGTTTCAAGCTTAAGTTAGTTAGTTATATCAGTGACTGTGTCATCAAGTGTATGCTCAAGTAAATAGATCCTTCAACATGCATCTAAGAATGTGTATTTTATAATCTGTGAGTAACATTTGTGTTGCATTTTCTTGAGAAATGTGAGAGAAGACACTTGGGTATGACTTGCCATATGTGTTTTAGGCAACGCTTGTATAGTGCAATGATGAGAGTTCAGTATTTGAGCAAGTTTGCATGCTTTATATACTTCAACATTATTAGTGAACACTAAATCGAGTGTGTTTGTCAAGGTGAGTAGCGACGTTGACAATGTTTATATGTTGAGGAAACAACAATCGTAGGAATTGAAGTCTCCGGTGACTATTGATAGGGCACCAGCGACAGAAAAACTGTCAATTCGTCTGTAAAATTAGATAGATCTAAGAGGGAACAGTCATGGGTAAACAAAAGTGTGTTTGTGATCATGAAAAATCCCCCATTCGAACATTAAATAGAGAGAAGAACAGTGGTTCAGCGAAAAGTCTCTTTTCGGCGGCGAATTCTTTTTCACAGCTGTACAACCGCAAATAGAAATGGGTTATTAATATTATTATTACTATATCCTTCGATTCCTAGAGAAACATAGGGCTTCAGCCGCGCGTCTCCATTGCCTTCGGTTTCCTGCCAACTTTTTCACCCCGCTACAAGTTTGCCCACACGCTTTCATCTCTTCACATGACCTCCTCCAAGTCACCCTTGCACTGACGACCAACTCGCCGCTTCCCTTTCGGGTTCCACTCGAGGGCTCGACAGTCATACGAGCATTGCCAACCTCCGTGATGATTTTTCTTAAATTTATTAGACACATAAAAGTCATTTGGTGGTCTTAAACATATCGAAAATTTACGAGAGTAAATAATACAATTTGACGCTATGCTTTAACACATAAATTTGGATTGTGTTATTAGAAGATGGAGATTATCTGAAAAGCTGTGTGATGTATTTCCTCTATACATTTCGAACAATCTGATCCCTCACACATTCACTTGTCAAGTCGATATATATGAAAAAATTAAGGGCAATTAAATTGAACCAAGTGACAAAAAATAAAAGGATTTAAGAATGATTAACACAACGTTTGATAATCCAATCAAATCAGGATTACCAAGGTAAGTTAAGAGTGTTATGTTGCTGCTGCTGAGTGGTTAATAGTAGTTTTCCCCGTCGCCAAATTGTTATGTACTCGTCGCTAAATTATTGTTATGTTCTGGTCGAGAATTTAATAGTCCTGATGCAAGAAGGCGGAAATCAGAAGACCACTAGGTTTGCGATGATACTTCTATTTTCCAAACGCAAGGAGCATGCAAAAGTGGTATCACACCAAAGTAAGTAGTCACAAGATTGTGAGAACGAAATATATATATGAAAATGTTCCAGACAAAGTGTGTGACAAATCATTAGACAGTCTTAACATGAATGGCTAATTATAATGAAATATCGATCCATATATACATAGCGAAATATAGCAGACATGTCAACAACCACCATATATGGATATATGTCACCAAGCAACGGACTGTCAACAAACACTCATATTGTATATAATATAAGGGGAATATACATTGTTAAAGGAGACAGATTCATACAAGTGAAATGGTCACAGACTAAGCGAGCAAACAGAAAGAGAGACCAACATACACACACACACATAAATATATATATATGTGGATACATATCAAAGAGTAATAATAAACTGTCTTTGAATACACAGGGAGGGGGTAGAGGGCTTAAGTTTATGAATAGCTATAGCCTTAGCGTATTTTAATAAGCACCCTGGACCATTTTTATAGATGACCTTAATGGCTGTGTTAACATCAATCTAATGGTTCATCTCGATTAGATGTTTGGCTATAGACGACGGTGGTAGTCTGACACCTGCATCTATTGGTTTTCTACAATTCATTTGTTTTTCTAACCATTTCGGGATTACCAAACGTTGTGTTAATCATTCTTAAATCCTTTTATTTTTTGTCACTTGGTTCAATTTAATTGCCCTTAATTTTTTCATATATATCGACTTGACAAGTGAATGTGTGAGGGATCAGATTGTTCGAAATGTATAGAGGAAATACATCACACAGCTTTTCAGATAATCTCCGTCTTCTAATAACACCAGCCAAATTTATATAAAGGGACTAATTGTTTTAATATATAAAGGCAAATAAAACGCGATAAATTAGATGTAATATATGTAGACGGAAGTGTTTAAATAGCCCAACATTTGAACAGGCTTTAATCTCTAGCTAAATAATGTTTCTCCATGAAAACAAATTCCCATGTGATCTAGTTAAGATACCAAATTGATATACAATTATTCGGCGGGGGAAGGGTTGTACATACATTGTGGATTGACAACAAAGGTCAGAGGTCATTGTCAGTCAAATAGATGAAAGTGTGTGAGAAACTATAATCAAGCATTGGTTTGTAGGGATTTTGTTTGATTGTCTTCCGTTTTACAATATTTTCTAATCGATTTCAGCCAACTAGCACGTTTGTCACACAAATATGACTATTTATTTTGATACCCCATAACTACTAATCTATTATTCTACGTTAAAAATGTATCCGCCGCATAACTGGCCTTTATTGTAACGACCACATATATTATATTTTATAATCGTAAGAACCTGAAGAGAAATTATTGAAAAGAATATTTATAAGATGCTCACTGGCGACTTGCCCTATTCAGGTAGGTAGTCACCTGGGGTTCTAGTGAGAAGTCGTGACCAGTAGGGTGCAGCAGGTCGGGTGTGAGGACAAATACTCGCTACGAATGACATTGGCTAGGGGTCGCGCTATGTCGTGAATTGGGAGAAGTTAGAATTTAAGAACCATTGGATCGGGGCCCAGTGGCTTAATGGTATACGAGCTCGCCTTGTAACCAGAAGGTCCTGGATTCGAACCCCATGGTGTATGTCCGTACTGCTGAAGAGTCCCAAACTAGGACGAAACAGCTGTCCAGTACTCCCAGGTGTTCCAATGGTTCTCTAAATAATGTCATCTAATGATGAAATCCTGTAAACCAATCAAATCCCTACAAACCAACACTTGAAAAGAATATTCGTCGTTCAGATTGACTTTTAATTCATAATATAGGAATATTTCACACTATCAAATTTTGTTTGATTGTTTGAAGGATATCATCATAAGCTGACATCAGTTAGAGAACCATGGAGAAACATGCAGGGAATACTGGACAGCTGTTTCACTCTAGTTTGGGACTCTTCATCAGTACGCACATACACCATGGGGTTCGAACCCAGGACCTATAGGGACTATAGTGACAGGACATAAAATTGACATTTACGTATCTTTGAAACCTATATATAAAACGTGTCTGAGGGAGGGCGTATCCTAAAGTTTGTGGAAGCGCTAGCTGGTGATTAGAAAGTTTGAACCACCTTCATGCATTCAAAGCAACAATTTGGCATCACACTAAACCACCTCCTTTGGTAAACTTTGTTTTGATATAAGTCAGAGCAGAGATGTACTAT